TATAACTTTCATCCTTCTTTTGAGCTTTTGCACATCTACATTCAAAAGCAGAGTTTCATACTTTTCTTGACGTTAGAAACTGTCACACTAATGTTTCTTCAATCCACTGAGATCCTATTTCTTTTGCTCTGGAATTCTTGGTTGTAAACAAAATTTTGTTGACAAGACAAACCGAATTTGATAACAAGACCAGATAAATCAACAAACCTTGTATGATAATGCCACTTCATGATGATAAACAGGGAGTGAAGTTGTTGATTGCATCTGTTCGTGGACCTGGAAAGAGAGAAAAAGAAATTAACTAATAAAAACCATTGCTATACAGGCTAATGGGAAAGAGTTTGACCAAACAATAGAAAAAGGGGCGATGAAAACGATGGGACAAAACAAATTTGGAGTTTATGGGGTTATGTTTGCGACCCAGATTTTCTTTATCATTCAGAGGGAACTTTATCTCTTAGACATACCAGCAGGGATGTAGCAAGAGCAAAGGAGGGATATCTCTCCTTCCCTCTCTCCTAAAATTAACAAAAAATTCAAGAGGCCCTGGACTACTGCATTATAATGCTTTTTCATATTGCAGTTACATTTAGGGGGCTTTAATTCACTTACTGCCATTAAGCAAGGGTAACATCATCCTTTTTTAAAAACTCTATGAAGGATCTTTTCTTTTAATTAAGGCTTATTCTACTCTTAAGTTTATAGTTTTCTTTTCATCTAGAAGGTTAGATTGTTGTTGTTACCATTTGTTTAAATATTGTTCTTGCTGTTTAAAAATTGTATTCTTTTCAATGACAGGAATTGCACTGTTTTGTATCCTAAATTTATAACTCTTGTATGGATATACTGCACAGCCCATTGGTGTATGGTTAAATACAATTAAATGAATTGACTGTTGTTTTCTGACATTTTCCATTGTTTTTCGAACAAAGCAATGTAATTCCATTCCATATTTGAGTCAAACGATGCAATTTTTTACAAAAGTGTCCCCATGAAATTTTCCTCAAAATTTTTCTGATTTCGGCATGAATTCACGGGAAAAATTAGGGTGATTTTCAGTTAGAAATGCCCAAAATTCTTCTGGTACAGATGGTATTCGCGAGGGGAAATTTAGCAACATTGAATTATAGTTACGTTCTTTTGTGAGGGAAAAGACGTTTTGTCCACTTCCCCTGATTTTTTTTCATTTTCCTTAACTTCTTAAAATTCCCTGATAAAGTTCCTCATTTTCACTGACTGGCAAACCTGAGTAATATACTCCTAAAGTATTTCAGCCGCTTATCTCATAGACTAGGGATTTGTAACTATGAAGGGACACAATAAATGACAGACTTGCTCCGTACCGGAATCTTTTTACTCCACGTGGCAGGAGGTGGTGCTGGAGAAGGTGAGTTGACAAACTGTGGCGGTGTATCGCTGCCGGAGGACTGAACGCTTGACAGGCTTCCGCTCAAAGTCAGCGTTCCTGAAGTGTTGAAACTTTGGTTTGGGGTGTCCATGCATCTCAAAGTGATAGATGATGTTCGCTTTGGGACTTCTGGGGGGACTTTCCGATGCAAAGACCTCATCGTAGAGGTGTCTGGAGACGGGGACGAGTTTGCAGCTCTACTCAAAGGAGGCTCTGGACTAAGACCATTCTGAAAAGGAAAAAATAGATATGTCAAAAATCATTAAAAGTTTTAAGAAAAAATATTCAAATTGGGTGCTAGTACCACTGTAAAGGAGTGTTAGACAAACATGTTTGGCTCTAAAAATGTTAAACTAAACCAGAGCTAAACCAGACAGTTTAAAATGAATGCAATTTAAGGTTTCAATCTGTAGTTTTTTAAAACTTGTTAATCTATAATACAACTTTAATAGCTTTAAGCCCTTTCTTGGCGCAAACATCAACTAAACTGATGGTAACATATTCTTTGAGGGGATTGAGAGCTTTTCTCATTGGACAGCAAAACTTGTTTTTTTTTTTTTTACTAAACAGAACAAATAAAAAAATTACACAAGTCACTAAAGTCCTCTCTCTATGGACAATTGTATGTATTTGTTAAAATACCGATCTCAATGTTCTTGAAAAAAACGCAATGAAAGAATGGTCTACTTAAATATTCTCTCAAAGATACAATTAGAAATTTCCATACTTAGATAAAACAATTTGCATAATAAACATACATTAAATCAGAAAAACATTTTACTTACTTTATTATGGTCTGCAAAAAACTGTTGTGGTGAATAATAATGCTGTGAAGAGGAGGAATAGTAAGTCAGATCACACCTCCCTGAGTATGATCGTGGCATGTGGAACCCAGTATTTCTGTGCTCTCTCAAAGACATGGATCGCAAAGGAGGAGTCGAATGGATTTCATACTCGGCCTCGGGCAGTGGACACAAATTACGCTCACTTTCTTCAAAATTCTGTATCCGTCTACTTAGACGACGTTCCGCCTTAGCCATTGCTGTGATGTGGGCGAACTTTTTGAGGAGCATGTAATGCCGGAATGCCCGCTGGATAACAATCGCAGCAGTGCGGGCTTTGACGCCACCATATTTCCGTTCCAGTACTTCGATTTGTTTGTCTAATAGGTCTTGAGACAGCTCATACCTACTGATCATTCAAAAAAAAAAAAATTAAATTGAGGGGGACATTTTCAATTTACCTGTGTGGATAATTTTTAATTGAACGATGGTTTTCATAATGAATTAGAACTGGTGAAGTAACCATTGAGAGACAGCCATTAAGCACAGTAACTTATCCTCGATTGAAGTTAACAAAAATATTGCAAGCCGTCAAAAATCATTACTGTAAAGGAAACTCATTGAGAGGTGAGCCAAAAGTAAAATTCTACTTAGGGCAATACCGATCAGACATCATAAATTGGTAAGAACACATAATCTATCAACCAATACTGATTCAGGATTCTTTTGTCCTTTATATTTCTTACATAAAACATCCTGCACTGACATTTATGGCGTTTCTGTAAATGAATATATAGTCAAAGCCTTATAAATTTGTGGTAGCTGGTGGGTGGTAGTAGTTAAACCCTTTTAGCGGCTTGGTTTGCTCTGTGTTTAATGGTAAAACCAAGCCTGCACTAAAAAAATTGAATCTAGTCTAGCCTGAACTCTTTCAGGTTGATGATATGCCTAAAAATCTCTGAAAACTCATCATTTTTTGATGATGGTGAAATCAAATGTTGATAACCCAAAACGGAAGAACTGATAGATACTACGGTACCAGGTAACCCAAAACTGCCTAACTGAGGGATTGCTTCACCACTTTTGTAAATATCGATTCAAAAATGGGAATTATAATGCGGGGATGATTTGATGAATTTTTATGTGATGTGATGATATGGTTTACTTTTATGAGAGGTCATTAAAGTACAGTGTTGCACATTTTGTTCGATTGTTTCACCCTTGTTTCGCTGGTGGACATCAAAAAAACAAGAGGAGGTCACGGAGCTGAACATCAAAATCAGCTGTCTTTTTTGCCCTTTATATGCTGTATTTCTGGAATTTGCACACCACTATGCATTGATATGTTTAACAAGCAAAAAAAAAAAAAAGTTTCATTATGGCCCCATAAATTAATGAATTTCCAAATTCTTGGCTGTTACTTAGACAGTTTGAGACGCCTGGTGTCATTGTTAAACGTTATGATTACCAGTACCATGTCTTGATTACAAATTTTACTGCGGCAGGCATGCAAATAATTTACCAAAGCGCTGAAAAATATGGTGAGTACTTACACATTTTGTACTCTACAGCGTTTGAGCTCAGTACTATTCCTCACTGAGCTTTTCTTGGTAAGACTTTGGGACCAGCCATGGCACTGATAAACAGAGCTCGTACAAGCTCGCTCCCCAGAGTCAACTGTATCACTGTAAAGAGACATAAAAATTATTCTTCACAAGATGCATCGGTAATTCTAAGTATTTCTAACTCAAGAAAAACTCAAATGAATTTGTGCTAAAAAAATGCAGTTTTTCACATACAAATTATTTATGACTTTTCATGGTTTTTCGTTAGCAAACATAGCTTGACCATGTCTAAGCTTTTTTACATTAGTTCAGGATGAAAATTCTAGGACAGAAAATAAGTGAAATTAAGAAATAGTGGAACTTTATAGAAACCTTTCTGGTAACAGAAAAAAAGAGGGGAGGACAGAGTTGTATTTACCGATGCACTTCTGCATGAGAGTGACACAATGCGAATAATTTACATTCTGACGAATGCTTTTTTCCAGACACATTTTGAATTCCCTGACTTTCTCTTAATGAAAGCAAAATTTCTGACATTTCATAGATTTTCGTCATAATCACCACTTTGAGAAAGTTTCTTGGGAATGTTTATAATTTTACTTGATAGGTATGAGCCATTTTTCTCTATTCTCCTCTGTTATATGGGAAACCTTCAATATTCTGAGCTAATCTGCAAATAATTTTTCTTTTCTCTAGTCTTACTTATGGTTTCAAATTTTTTACTCCATGTTGTGTGAAACATAAACACTTAGAACTAAAAATCTGCTTGGTGACGCGCGTTACGCAACATTTTTTTCCAAAATTCTCCCTGAGACAGATTTTTCTACCATCCTTTTCCCTCTTATTTCTTCTGTCTCGTTCTAAATTCCAACTTGTCAAGCATTCTAGGCCTTAAGCCGTTGATTATATACAATCATACGTACCATCACATTTATTTAATATTTTTTTTATCTGTGCACCGGATGGCTGATGCAACAAGCCCTAAAACTTACATTTCTAGGCCTGCTTCCCCTTCTCTGTGAACCAGGAACTTTACTTTGCGTTTACCATCTCAGCTAAGACTACATGTCCTCTCTTAAGCTTTCGCAAGTCTTTCTAAGATATTTAACTAAGTGCAGAACTTTCTATTTCCAACTTTGTAATCCAGTTACTTCATGAACAAAGTGTGTTGTGCTATCTTAACAGATTCCCAGTGTTACTTATCTACATCTGCTCCCCCAAAAATTAACATTAAATTTGTGCTCTCTCAGAAAAACTTACTTTTGCTGTTTCAAGTGCTTTTCCAAATCTTAGTGCACGATTAATGAAGAAACCGATCGTATTCCTCTTTAATATGCAACATGGTACCTCGACCCGGGTTGCCTGGTTTCATATGCAACACTTAGTCAGCTCAGGGGGTAGTTGATAATTATTTTTTGCGTAGTCAAGTTTTGCCTTGTGATTCAATTTTATGAGTCAAAATTTCAAGTAGTGTAAAAGCAAACAGAACGCACACCAAGTATCAAATTGTCTTTGTACAATACTTTGGTATTTATTATAGTATTATAGTAGTTTAATGTGAAGAAAAACGAGAAAATTACAAGAGAACAAAGTATCCATTTAAGTATCTCCTGGTCAAAAGATAAAAAAAAAACTAAACAAATTGACGAAAAAACTATGCTTACGTCTCCAGTGTTCCATTGAGATTGCCATTGATGTACGTTGCATGTGGAGGCTGTTGTTCACGTTCCTTGGTCATATTATCAGATCTGAAAATAATAAAGAAAACTTTCAGATATTCATTAAACCTGACGTAATTTTTCTTTTGGCTTCCTTCCTATTTTCAGTCTGACATATAATTCATGAGAAGGCAAGCAATTGTTTTCACCTATCAAAATCTAAAGTTGTGATTATATTAATTTCTTCTTGTAAACATTATTCTCCAACTATAGGAACTGTCCCTCTAGACATTACTCTTAAACTTGCATCACACCCGATTAGATATGTGACAAGAACATCTTGTTGAGTTCATTTGAGCAAATAGTAGATGTTGACTGATGATTCTTCCTCTTTTAAAGGATCAACACATTACAAGTTGGCTTGACAGGCAAGTTAATGAATATCGACGGTGAGAGTCAGCAATCACATAACTCGTTTGTGGTGTCTGAAAATCTCCGCCTCTACGTCATTTTCTCAAAGGAGAACAAATTGATATTATTTCTTGAAGTTTTTGCAGAATTTTCTTCGCATTGAGAAGAAAAATCATGACAGTTTTGAAGAATTGCCGTTGAGTAGTTTTCCATTTAAAAAATAAAGTATGACAGGAAGTCTGCGACGTCGCAAACCGAGTTATGTGATTGCCGACTTTCACCGTCGATATCTACATCAACAAATGACAGTAAACAGCAAAAATGCATATTTCAGATCAGGTGTCTCAAAATCTCCACTCCCATTTTTGTATGATGAAGGAGAACAAACCAACACTATTCCTTGAAATTTTCAACGTATATTTAACTCCAAGAAAAAAAAATCAGAGCAGTTTTCGAGAAATACTTGGAGCGTTATTCCATTTTTAAAAATAATATGACAAGAAGTCTTACAAACCAAGACACATGTAGTGCAGTTTTACAATCAAAATGTAACTAGTTGAATTTGAAAATAAAAATAATTTTCATTTACTTCCTTACTTTTGCAATGGTCCAAAAATTAATTACCTGAGAAGTTGACTTACATTGGTAGGTAAACAAGGTACTTAAGCGGACATCCATTTATTTATTGTTAAATTTGGTGTAAGTAACAAAATCAGAATTTACTTTCTAGAGGATTAATTTTTTCTAAAATTTCAGAACAATTTAGCTACTCTCACACACATTAAAATTATTAAAAAAGAAAAAAAGTTAATAAAAAGTATATTAATAAATGATGAGAGAAAATTTTCTATACAGGTTCGTGCTAAGTATTCAGAAGTACCAGATGTTAAAAAAAAGTTAGGAGAGCTAAGGACAGATAAAATAAGAGAAGAGGATTAGGTAAGTAAGACCTCCAACTCACAAGTACTATACTTGTTTGATTAGTAAGTTATATGGATAGGTACTTCAGTTTTTTATTGAAGAGTTCAATGATAAAGGGCTAAGTAATTCAAATTTAGGAACTGGTGTTTCTGAGACTGTCTTAGGAATTTTCGGAAGCGTAAGGCATTGAAAATTAGTTATGGCTCAGGAGAAACAGGCGCAGATGAGCTCATGAAGGGCTAAAATAAAATCTTGAGGATAAAAATAAAATTTGACTTGAGTACTTGATGATTGGTTTGATGGATGGATATTTAAGTAATGAAGGAGAAGTTTGCACAGGGTCACACTATTAAAATGAAAGCGACTATGATCACGCGTTTTTCAAAAGCAATGCAATCATTAGTTTGTTACTTGTCATTCTTATAGTTGAGAAAACTTACCGCTTTGAATGCGAAAAGATTTTTCTTAGAAACATAATTCCTACGAGAAATAAAAACGATCTTGAAGAAGAAAGACATCAGATAGCAAGAGACTGGTTAAAAATCAGCGGGGGTAGTTAAGCTGCATGGTAGTTAAACTTAACTGACAGTAGGCAAGGCAATATTCTGCTCATTACTCAAGCGCGATTCGATTGAACACCTTTGCGATGTAAGTGAAAGCAAGAGTAAAATTAGTTCATAGTACCTGGCATGTCCTCGAATCATACTTTTGTCATATCCGTCATTAAAATCTACAAGAATAGAAAAAGAAAATCACTACTAGTTTCATTCCAGAAGAAGTTTGAAGCAAGGTTCAGATAAAACAACAGGCAACCTACTCTCATTTCCTGAAGCGTTTAGGTCCATCGCACATTGTAGAAATTGAAAATCACTTTGAAAGTGGAACAATGCGGATGACAGAGAAAATCTCAAAGCTGTAGAGTGTAGAGGGAAAAACTATTAGTTGGGGCTCTCATCTATGGTAAAGTTATGTAACAGCAGAAGAAAGTTCATGATAGCAGGAGATAAGAAAACCAATACAATAGGGAAGAGAAATCACAAATTGACAGAGGTTGTTGACAACAGTAGCAGCCTCCATTTTTCTCAGTGACAGGCCAAAATAATTTCATTTCAGAGAGAGAGGATGCGAATTTCAAAGACCAAATTGAAGGAAGGATCGTGTAGTCGAAAATTCACAACAAAAACTGTGTGATAAGAATGGTAGAAAGGCAGTAAGGTTAACTTGCCTGTCTTCGTGAATCCTTTTGAGATCGGCGATTTCCAATTCGAATTTAAGTCTGCTCACTTCACATAGTAACAAATCTCGTTCGCTGATCACCGATTTCAACTGGGCTTCCAGCACTTTTATCTTTTCACTTTGTTGCTGAATGATACCATTGCTGTCTAGGTCTAGGCTGGCAATCGCGTTTAGAAAATCCTCGGGCCTGGACACTTCGTCCACATTATAATGGGACTGGCTCGAAGATTCATTACTCATATTTTAATTTTCAAAGTATCACATCTTTCGAAACACTTCCGAGTTGATAAAATCAAAATTAGAAATCGTGATAATGAGGAAAGTCACAAAGTTACGAACACAAACACATCACGAACGGGCCTGCTGCGAGCCTGCCTGCCATAACAATTGCCCCACTTCCCCTCCTCTTCCACAAATCCATATCGATTTCGTTGAAGAACGCGAATCAAGTGCCCGTACCGTAATAACATAACGTCACTGTGCATTATGGGATTGTTCTTTTGAAAATTCTGGGTAATATGTTGAAAAATTGAGGATTCGACGATGGATTACGAATAATTTGGATTGAAATTATTTTTTTCTTTGTTCGGGCAAAGAACATAGGTAGTATGGACGGAAAAAAAAGAAAGTTTAAACGCAGGGCTGGTACGAGAGATTTTAGCTCTGTATGAAAGGCAAACTTGTTGTACATTGGCATGCGGCAGGGATGCAGTTTCCGGAATAGAAATTCCCGTTTTATGTTTCTTGAATCGTCCCCCCTCCCACCTACTACAGATTTACTGTGAAAATTATTTAGTATATTTCTCATGATTTGATGGAGTTGTCATTTTTTACCGAACAAGATTCTTGGAACATGTAGCAGTACGATTAAACAAAATTGTAAAAATTAATTTGAGTAAAATCCGCAGTGCCGCAGTGGAATAAATTTTGGAGGTCAGGATGTTGGAAAGAGAGACACTCCTGTCATCTTTGAAAATTTATTTCAGTAAATTTCTAAACAACTTAAAACTGCTAATCGGAGCCTCACTTTATAGAATTTTCTGGCCAAGTGTTCAAAGTGTGATATTTTTCCTTCAAATCATCATCATCATAAAATTTCCCCTTCAAATCTTCCTTTATGATAACGTTCTGAGCTACATTGTATTTGCAAATCAGAGTTTCAATTGTGGGATCTATATGAATCAAGAATTCTCACTACCTATTTTGCTTTATGGCACTTTTTATATCATTTACAAAACGGAAGTTATCTTCCTTTGAAACTAAGATTACTTATTTGAAACCTCTTCAATTATACTAGTGTAAACATGAATTTTTCTTGAAATATAAAACTATACTGCAGTATAAAAGAACTCTGAATTTTAAGAGCCTATCCTACATATCTATGTAAAATGCTGCAAAATAATCCATTGCAATATCAAGATAACTACATGTTTAATACACTGCATAGCGGGTGTTTGATAAATAAGTAGGTAATTATGGATAGGCATGAGCGAAACTCAGTAGAAGTAGAATATTGTTCTTAAAAATAAATTAAACTCATTTTACATAGAAAATAAAAACAACGCATTTAAATAAGGGGCATAAAAATAGTGTATTATCATACATAAACAATAGATTATCACAGCTATCAAAATTATTTTGTTGGGAGGACATGTGATCTTTTCTTGAATGTTTTTGTATTCTTTTTCTTCGCTTTCTTTGACCTGAAAAAGAAAAAAGGCAACCATTGAGTGTGATAAACTTAATCAAGGCACAGAGAAAAACTAAGTTCAAAGAAAGCAGTTTCAAAATTGTATTATACTTTTTAAATAAGCTTCTGAAATGAAAATTTTCACCATTCTTAGGCTGGTTTTATCATTGCTTCGTTGTCCAATGGCCAAAAATCCTAAAAATTTAATGAATTTACTTTTTTTTAGTAGGTTAGCCACACTCTAAACTATGTATGTATGTGTGCAAATGGATTAACACTCAATTTCTTGGAAGATAAGGGAGTGAGAATCAGAAAATTAAAAACTCAAACACAAAAAATAAATTGGAGTAAATGCTGATGCTTTCCAGAGTTTCAGCCTTAAATGCGAACAATTAACACGGCCTAGAAACGCTATGGCGATCATTTGAACTCTTTCTAGGAGTTAAAGTTTTTCAATTTACTGATTCTCTTTTCTTTCTGATCTATCCATCTCACAGTCCCTTAACTCGTTTTCCCCCCATTAGTAATAGTTTTATTTTTGAAAGGAAATGAAATAACTCCTGAAAAACAAGGTGCCTATCAAGAAATTAAAACAGTTAAAACAATGTAACTTCATTTTCCAATCGATTTTATGCTAAACACAATAATAATTTAAATTTTTATATGCCACCGACTTCTTTTGTCTACCAAAAAAAAAAAAACTTTAACCGATGAGCTCCCTGGGGACTGAACCTCACATCCACTTGGGTGCCGTCATTACTGTGATATTCATAAATTCTACTAGCTATTCTGCTAAATATTCCATAGATACAATTTCATGAGAATTTGAAGAAAAAAAAGGTTTATTCTGAGTAAATAAGACATAAATGAAATGTATACATACTTCAGCTGTCTCTGTGTTACTTCAATCATGTTGCGTTTTTGCAGATTGGAAAGTACCTGGGCAGCAATATTGCCCACAGGAGTGATAGTCCGCAAATTCCCAGTAATATCCTCTCTCTGACTGAATACAGGGGCTGGTGCCACAAATTTATTCTTACTGAGCCGTTTTGTGAGGACCTTGTCTCGGATAGCTTTGCGCTTCTGAAGTTTCACTTGCTTGGCTTGCTCAATCTCTAAAGCTTGATCAATCAGTTTGGAATATGATTTTACCCTGTAATAAAAAATAATTGTTGTGTAATAATAAATTGTGGTTGAAAAAACAGAGGGGAAAAATTAGTTGAACAAGAAGAACCTCGATAGATCATGGCAAAACACTTAAAATTACAAGGAAAATATTAACAGCAATTTCGATGAGTTGGTACAAGCAAAAAAAAGGGGGGAGGGAAGGGAAAAAAATAAAAATAAGAAGTAAAAAAGAGGGGCTTGGCAGGAAAAATGCCGGAGTATATCTCACCTACGCATGCAGAGATTTAACTGCCCCTGAAAAAGAAAGGCAATTACCTGTAATAAGAGCTTATTGCTTTAAAAAAGTAAGCTTAAGTATTTTATGACATTTATATTGCCTCACTATGCAGCTACCAATATTTTTTGAAAAAATTTGGCCCGATTCATAGAGGGTTTGAAGGTTTCAAAAACTGAAAATTTAAGCTTTCCATGATTGAAAACAACCCCATAGGTCCAGTTAGAGTTTTCAACATACATACCTGTCAAGATCGGCCAATCGCCTTTTTTCCAATTTCTTTTTCCGGGTTTCCCTTTGCTTCCTTTCATGTTCCTTCTTACGCTGGCGCTGGCTTGCCTTTTTCTTTCTATCACGGGTTACTGGCTTATTAACAGAACGCAACTCAGAACTCTCATTACTGCTACTTTCATCTTCATTGTTTTCATTGTTGTCCAACCCCTGCATCATTTCATCCATCCATTCTTCCTGAAAAAACAAGAAATTTATTGCTTGCTGAACATATTTATCACTTAGTTTTGAAGACAAAATATGAATATTGACAGAGGTGATCATGTTGAAGCTGGACTGAACTAATACATTTTACAAAATAATAAGGATTGAAGCTTTCACAAAGATGACAAGTTTTTCAGATTTAAAATTTTATGACCAATTTTAAGCTTTATATTATTGGTGTTTTGATTTCACTATACGACTTATTATTTACTTTACCATAGTTCTTCGCAAGGGAGGGGGTAGGGAAAGAAAAAAAACAAGAATGGTTTTTTTACTCCAGGCACTTTAACCCTCTATGGCATAGTCACAACAAATTCGTAGCAACGTGTTTTTGGGTTTTTTAAAAATTGAATCTTTCTTCCGTGGCCTGATTTTGTAAATTTTCATTAGTTTTTTCTTTTTTCGAATAACCGATTCCCTAAAATTTAAAATTTTGAAAACAAATGGAGAATTTGCATGCAAATTTTGTACTGCTTCTTCTGAAATTGCTAAAAGAGCTGATTTTGCAGTATTTTTTATAATTTTTTCTGCGATGGGAAATAGTCTAAACATTGATTTAAAAGTGAGAAAATGCACCACCTTGTGACGTTATCTGGCGGCATTTCCCATTAAATCGCATGTATTTTAGCAAATATTTTTGTCACATCTTTTTTAACAATTGCTCGATTAATGAACCAATAGTATTCAGTTCAATCAGCAGTTTCTCTTCAACACAAAATTTTTCAAATTTCAGACACCTGCAAATTCTTCATTTGGTACTCTATGTTTTTTGTGCAAGCTACAAAAAGGATTAGTGTCCCCTAGAATCTAAGATCTAAAATTAATTCATGTCATAGAGGGCTAAAACGCCTAGATATGATGAAATTTTTTTTTTTTTTTTTTTTTTACGCCAATACATCCTCTATCCGCAAGAGGAGCGAGAGAGTAAAAAATACTTGCAGAAATTAGAGGTGAGTAACTAGTTGATTAGTATTTCTCCATAAAATGGTCATGATAAAATTACTTACTTCAATCTGTTTAGGCTCCATAATGCGGTATTTACTGACTTCACGAGCCAATTCAATCTCTTTTTTAGTTTTCCTCATTTCCTTTTCTGCTACGCTCTGCAAAAGCCGGTTGTGGTCCTCTAGAGTTGGGTTATAAGAAGTTCCTGGGTGTGGTTTAGGGAGTGGTGGCAAAATGCTTGGTTTTACTTGGACGCTGGCGGGTGTTTTCACAGTTTCCAGAACTTTTCCAGTTTTTGTAAGATTATGTCGCTTGGTGTCAGTCTCAAGCCACTTCCCGTTGCCATTAAATAAGTCATTTTCTGAAAAGCATAAGATTATACATGAAAGTCCCTTTCCTTTCCTTGTACAGACTGATTTCATGAATATGTCATTTGATATAATATCAAACCCAGTGGTTCAAACCAAAAAATAATAAACAGCAGCCTGATTGTTGAAATTTTATGTTTGTCGGGTAGACATATATGACATGGGTAAAAAGGCGGAGTGTAACTGAAGCGTAAGTTTCCAAAAGTGAATCACATATTGCAGAAAGGGCACTATTGCAGAAATGTTAATTGTTCAGAAAATGCAAAAAACTGATTTGAGTAAACTATAAGCTTTTGGAAAAAAAATTTTCGAGGTTTTCTTTTGTCCCCCAAGTAGACTGACAATTTCCATAAACAATTTTTACATGATACTCTTCCTGGGTTGTAAATAATGACACTTGAAGGAAGAGCAATAGTGCCCTTTCTGTAATACATGGGGGAAGGAGCCATAAAAAGTGATAGAATGAAGCCAGAAAATTATTTTAGCCCTTGTTTTTCATCTCAAATGTATGGCAATGATGCATGTTTATAGCGAAAGTTGGAAATTGTACATCACCATTGCAACGTTTCAAAATTTCTGCTCTCTTTTTATTTTATTTTTTTAAAGAGAACTAATAGAGATTTTCCCATGAAATTTTCAGAAAACAATCTTGATGGTGTGAAGAAAATTTACACAAAATTTTAATGGAGAATACTTAAGAACAAAAAAAAGAAGACGAAATAAAATTGGCAATGTCGGAATTGATGGTATGCGATTTCGAACTTTCGCCATGTGGTTTGCCCAGAGCCATGTAAATTTTAAAAATATTTCTGGCTTATTTCAAGACAAGAAATTTAAAAAAAAAAGAAAAGAAAAAAAAATGTATCCTTATTGAAGTTCAATAGCGTAGTAATCTTTGGATTCAAAATTTCAGGTCAATTACCTACTTCCTCATCCAACCTGTCAAGGGCTCCTCTCACTTCCTACACTCAAGGTTCAATTCTCACTCCTTTCATTTTCAGCGTGAGTGAAGCGTGTAGCGTGATCACTGTCATTTCAAAACGCAAGACTAACCTCTCAATCATATCAAAACAAACGACAAGTTGCCTCTGCCAATGCTCGCGCACCCAGTGGGCACGTACTGCAGAAACGGCACTATATTGCTGCAACAGTGCCCTTTCTGCTCTACGTGAGGAACTTAACCCCAGTCAAAAACACATAAAAAATGCGAATATAGTGCCCTGTCTGCACTACAGGATGTGTCTACATACACTAATGCGAAAACAGCAAAAAACTCAATTTCGAAAAAAATGTTGATTGTGCCCTTTCAGTAATAGCTGATTCAAGTATGTCATCCATTCTACCTGGCAAAGGCACGAAAAAGCAGCAATAAGACATAGCCGACCGATCATGCTTTGCCTTTTAACCTATATCATCTAAGTCTACCCGACAAACACAAAATTTCAACAATCAGGCTGCAGGGTTGCCATAGAATGAGGAAAATGAAATTCCCTGACATTTCCCTGATTTTCCTGTCTCATTTTAGTAAAGTTCCCTGACAATTGAAGATATGCCAGATGGTTAAAATAAAGATATGGGTAATTAAAGATAGTTTTCACGCAAAATCTATTATGCAACGTCAAGCATAGTCTAGAAAGCAAATAGAGGCGACTTCACAATTTTTCCCGGACATTTTCACCATTTTCACTGAAAATTCCAGTTTTCCCAGACTTTTTAAAATTCCCTGACATTTCCCGGTTTTCCCAGTATTCCCAGACTGTGGAAACCCTGAAATAACAGAGCCTTAGGTAAAAATTCTGCGCAAGTCAATTGTGTTTACTCATTATAATTTAGTCATTGACAGATCATAAATCAATTAAGAGCTCATAAAATACAAGAAAATTCGATTACAAGAAACACTTAGATGTATTTCACTACCATGGTGCGAAGGGTGCGAATCAGAGAGAGGGTTATCAGTTTGTTTACAATTGAACCATGGTGTAGTCACTAAATCAGTTTATTGCATTTGATAATCTATTCTGGGTTAAATTTCTCGGTTGAGAGAAATTTTAATTAAATCAACCTTAAAAGTTCATGGTAGGTACATAATAGAAACAGGGAAAAAAATTAAGGTCCGGGATATCCGTAGTGGAGAGCCAAAGAAATGCAACTATCAGTTTTGAAAGAAAATAAGCAGTTCATCAAATACTTCAAATACTTATAGCATACTTATGGCATTCTTCAAATTCTTATAGAGGGATCTACATGAGTAAAAAAGTTTGTTATAATATGGAACACCAGACTCAAGATAATACAATCAGGAAGGCGACTACAGGGGTGTTTTGGATCCCATCATCAGTGTGGCGTAGCCTTCTGATTTTCCCTCTTTTTTTTATCAATAAGAACTCTATAAAAGGCATTATCATTATATTTGGTGAGAGAAGTTTCCTTTTTTTACGTAAGTAAGGGGTCAATTTTTCCGGCATCTCACTGCCACAAGATAAGGAACCTAATGAAAAAATGGACCTATTTAACTCTAGAGGAACTATGTACATCCATTCTGATATGTGCCCTGCGATCCATAAGAATACGTGCATAACATGACTCATACAGGGTGTCTACTAAAACAGGATGACCAAAAATTAGTACTTTTACAGTACTTTTGCAGTACATTTCCAAGAAATTCAATACCCCCTCTGTAGAAAAATTCAGTACTTTTTCAGTACCTCCATTTGATAAAATTTGAATTTCTCACTCAAATTGAGACAAAAATGGCAAAAATTCCGGACCTTCTTGCCGAATTTCCGCACTTTTTCAGTACTTCCGAACCGTCCTTAAAAAGGCAGTATTATTTCTGGACTCTCCGGAAATTCCGGACTTGTAGACACCCTGCTCTTGTCACAACGGATAGTTTCTTTTGATTTCGACAAGTCCAAAAGAAATTAAATAATTTTAAAATGAAAAGCTGCTTGAACTGAAGAAACAAACGAATTATTCTTACCATCTATCCATGGGTTTACTTTAAAAAGATCCTTCCTCGCTTCTTTCTTCTTTTGCCACCGATGAGCTCGCTTTTGTTTGATTGAGTCAATTTCTTTCCTCTTGCGTAAACCTAACTTTTTCCTCTGCTCTTCTTTGCTTTTGGCAATTCGGTCTTGTCGCTCTGCTTTGGTCCTAACTCGATTTCTGTGCATATACCATTAACCATATTAAAATGATGAGAATCTTGAATTTTGAATATTTCAGTGATAAAAAAGACTATACAACTTTTGTAAAACAAAGACTTCAATTGAACAGCAAAGTTTAATTCATCACTCACAGAGTTTGGCAATAAAGATAACCTCTATGAGTCCATCAGATATGTAGTTTCAAAAAAATTCAAAAATAAAAATTGATTTCTGGTGAGTGCCTTTCATATGATTCCTTCAATCATGATCAGCAGAAATCTTACGCACTATGCCTCTAAATATATTTTCAACCAGCGCCATCATACAGCAGCGCCAGAATGCTAATGGACAACATTGGTTGTATATTTTGCCTGAAAATTAACTAATGTGAAATACCAAATACAAAAAAGGGGAGAAGGTAGTATCAGTGTTCCTACAATTGACAAGACTGAATATTTCAGTCTCTCAGTCTTCCATACTTCTAGAGCAACACAAAAGTAATGCAATTGAGGCTGAAGAAAATTTTTTTTTTTTTTTAAAAAAAATCAAGTGCTTCGACTAATTTTAGGATCTTTTTTTCATGCGAGCACCAATATATTTAAAATACGCCTGAATTAGTTGAAACTTCGATGAGAATACCTTAAGGGCATTGAAATTACAGTAAAAGCTCGCTAAGTTGAACTATGGTTAAGACAAAATGCCAATTAAGCAAAAAAAATTTCCGGCCCTAGACACATTCATAAGGTATGCGGAGAATCAGTTAAGAAGAATTGCCATTTAAGTCGAATTAACTTTCAGTCCCTAGACAATTAGATTTGGCGAGCTTTCACAGTAATACGTATGCTTGAGGCAATTTCATGTGAAAGGGCTTTCACTGAGCATCTTAAAATATAGACCTGACAGACGCTGATTTTTTTCAAAGATTTGAAATTAGCATTACGTATTAACTTACCAGAACTTACTTTTAATTATTATTGTAGAATGTAAAGGGTCAATTGCAGCAAAGCTGACAAAATCAGTCTACAAAGGACCAAGGCAAAAAAAATCATCTCTGGATGATTACTTATGGGCCATTCTTTGTTGATGATATTGGAGGGAGGGAAGTAGATACTGATTGGCAGTGTTTGAATCTTACCGAGAAATCTAGGGGACATCAAGTTTTTTGGGTAGTAAATTACTTTTTTTCACAAACAATTTATGATGAGCACCGGATATCTTGTGGCACCCTTGAGTCAGATTTTTCCTTACTAACTACACATTTTACAGCTTTCCTTTACCCAATTGAATCCTCTTCAGGGGGTCTTTTAACAATTTTAGTATCAATCAAGAAAGTTTGTTTAGGTTCCAGTGTTTTCATAGCTAGCTGATCCCAAACATTGAAGCGCCAACTTTGGCCAAGATTTCAATTATTTAGGCGAAAATAAGAAATATCTATGCACACTAAGCGCATGGTTCCAATAAGATTTGAACACGGATGGTTGGGGTCCAAGATTTTTGGATTCTTGCGTGGTAGTACAGTATTAGATATATAACTTAATACTAAAGCCTAACAAATAAAATCAAAAGAGGAAAAATGTGGAACAATACCTTTTGGTAATAGGATCTGAAACTGCAGAGTCTGGCTCTAAAATCTCAAAACACTTAGGAGGTAGAAATGCTTTCCTCTTCTTTTCAGCGACTGATAAGGGCACTGACTTTTTGGCTGGGGCAGTATCGACTTGGAACAATTCATCATCAGTTCGTTCTGAAAAGGGTTTTCTAGAAATGAAAAAAAAGACGCAAAAAATAAATTTTCCAGATCAACACAATCTTTGTAAACCAATATGAAAAGTGAAATATTAGATTCCGTTTTCAACACACGATCACATTAATAAATTCTTACAATGATAAGATTTCTTTCCTGACTTCATTAAAATTAACTTTCATACTCAATAGTAATTCAGATTTTTTCCCCCCAAATTAACAGCTTACATTCTTAAAATCATGAGCAGACAAATTGCAATACTTGCTTGATATAGAAACTCGGTTTTTGTCAAAATTATTTGAGTAACTTAAAACTTCAAAACGCTTGAGGTGAGTTGGAACTATTACTGGCACAAAGTTTTTCCTTTACTAGAGAGAAATTTCAAAAATTAAGGTACATGTTTCAGATTGAACTCTCTATTTTTTTGGTGCAAAACCAGACACTATGTATTCCAACACTAAGACTTACAATACTCTCTTACCCTAATCTCTCTTCCAATCTTTTATCTTCGAGGAATGCATCAACATCGCTTGAATCAGTCTTCCTCCATGCTTTCTTACTTCTTTTCGCAGCACGGACTTTAGTTTTAGAGGCTTTTTCCGGATTTACTGGCACAGATGCACGCACCATGATGTTCCTGTAATGAAAATCAGAGTAAGTTAGTTCATTCCTCAATGAGGCTATTTAATTTAGATACATGTGGTCAAAAAGCGTGTCGGCGATTTGAATGTGCTTAGCAGCCATTGGCCTCAAAATAATGATGGTAATAAGTAACCCTCACTGGTTGGCATGGTTCTCGGATTTTAGACCGAAAGTCATTTTCTTGGCATATTAGATTCGAGTGGCAGAAAATAAGAACAACTCTATACGGTCGGCACCAATCATGTGGTTAAATTTGGCTAGAAACATGTTGGGTTAGCACGATTGAAAGGCTTTTTGGTGGTGGGACTTCAACGTTTCACTGAGGAGTCGGATTTCAAAATTCTGCAACAACTTCTTGCAACACTTGATAGGTGAATAATATATTGATAAAACAGGTGAATTAATTGAACAAAACCCGCTTACTGACAGAGCCTAAGAGAGAGTCAAAAGACTAGTTCAATGAGAGAGCAGAGAGGGAATTCGAGGTAAAAAATGAAAAAATCAACCGGGAGTATTACTCAAGAAAAAGGTTGCGGGCTTGACTCCAAACTAGTGGGCTGATACTAAATAAGTGAGAATTTTAGATTAGTAACACACCTGTAAATCTAAAACTTCACTCGATTCAAAGTAATCAAGTGAGACAAAATTCTTTCACTTGATTCATTACATTACAGTTACACTTGCAGTTTTACACTTTTGCAATAAGTCAATAACAGAACCATAACCTCAAATAGGTTATGGCACATGCTTTATCATCACAGAGCGACTCTTCACTATAAGAGTACACTCTTATGTTCAAAGTTGAGGTCAAAATAATGTGAGAAGAAACTGAAGATGACTCGAATAGCGGGAAAAGTAAAAATTATGAAAAATGGCTCCCGACTGTAGCGGTTCCCCTCCATCCTGCCGCGCCGTCTCTCCGTACAATCACAAAGAACAATCTTTTGTCATGATTTGATTTGATTTGATTATTATCACATTTCAGCAATTCAGCAGATTACTCATTGTCAGTTTCAGTTTACCGAGGCCAAGCATTAGCCTTCTATCCTGCCACGTGTTGGAAATCATTGGTAAATATATCAGATCCACACCTGAATTTTTTCAGCCCTCAATTATACTTAATTTATGATAATCACATATTTTTTTCAATCTCCTGGGCCCTACAACTCCTCTCTCATTGAATACATGTAAGAGTCCTGGTAGCTACCGGTACCTGGTAGGAACTGTTATTTTCCATAGGTACTTCTGTCAGAACTAAATTTATTCTAAGCTATTGCAAATGAACCGATTTGACATTCATATCCACACTCACATTGCGCGATTATCTCGCTGTCTAAGTAATCTAGTTCAGTGCTGCAGCCTGATTGTTGAAACTTTAACTGGCTATGCCGTCAAGAGAAGACAAGATGTAGCCCTAGGTATCTGCTCTGTGAAATATACCTTTCGATTTTCGATTCTTGTTGTGCTGACAAAAATTTCAACAACCAGGCACCTGGTACAGGATTTTAAGGGCTCAACTTGGCTTTAGAATCTGGACTTACCTCTGTTTCCAAGGAAATTCTGCTCTCCAGAAGACGAAGAGCCATATGCACAGTGATGAATGATTTTGTTACAGTGTTATTTTGGTGCATTGAAGTCTCGCAGCAGTAATTTAGAAATTGTGAAATTTACTTGTACCCTTCATATGTAATATTCTATGATCAAAATTTAATTTTTTGTTGCAGTTGACCGCTGAAGAGAATTTTGATGGAGCAGCTTTTTACCTACATATTGAACGAAAAATGCAGTCCTATACTTAAGATATCTGGCGACTCAAGAATTTGAATCACGGAAGTCTGTCTATCATAATCGTCACTTGCCTTTGGCCTTTTTTTACTTGCAGGTAGTCTGGATTTTTCAACCTCAGCTGCCGTCTAGTATGCAAATAGATGAAGTTAATTCCTAGTGAGCACAGACATTTTTCTTTGCCGACAACTACATTCAAATTATCTCTTTCTCTGTGCTTATGTTTGTTCACAATCAGGCGTGACTCGTGAGGTCCTCTCATACGTCTCCTCACAGCAGTTTTCAAGTTTAATCTTCAGTTCTAATTACCTCCGAATCATCATCTCCTTCAAATATCTCTAATTAAGAATGTCCTCGAATGTTGAATATCGGTGCGCTACTTGCCACAAATCTGAGAACGAGGTGCCACTTCTGAGATGTAGTAGATGCAAAAGAGAACGCTACTGCTCTCGTGAGTGTCAAAGAGCTAATTGGAGGGAGCATAAAAGTGATTGTAGTGATGATGGACAAGGTTCAATTCTGAATCCCTTTGCAGTTCTTGATGGCACATGGTTTTCCAACCGTCCAAAGCATGAAGTGTTTAAGCTTCTAATCGATGTATACAAAATGAAAATTGAAGATGAGTACGTATTTGAGGGAGACGTAGATGAAGACTCTGTGTATGGAGGGGCCAGTCCTGGCACGGCAGCACAACACTTCCGTAAATATCTGACTCTCATAACGAGAATAGATGCGAGGAGAGCTCCACAGTCGCGAATTCTGCCACACTGGTGGTCTAGAGGAATGATAACTGAGAATGTAAACTATGCCCTAAAGGAGGGCTGGAGTTTTATCGGTTATGCTATTGAAAAATCGGATGTAATAGATCACTATAAAAATCCCCTTATGCCAATGCAATTACGAGCAATGAGAGAGCAGCTCGAGGGGCCTGACTCAGACAGCGAGTGAAGCAGGGCGAATGCATGTCACTCTCAAATGATTTGGTTGAACTTGAGGGGTCCAATGGTGCCTCTTATCTGACCTTATCAACCTCTAGTTCTGTCATGTGGATTTTTTTAACATATTCCACCATCATTTACATTCATTGCGGTTTTGTTTAAGTTTTCAGCCCTTAATCTATGCCCTGCTTCGAAATAAAGATAGCTCTTGCTTGCTGTTTTTCCATTGCTTAGGTCCATGAATGATTCTTGGTACCTATTTTCTTGTTTTTCATGCATAGATGTACTTAAATTTTTATCTTAAAAAGAGATCAAGAAGGATATACTTATGTCGCTCAAAAGCCTCTTCACTTTGCTTTTTCGTGACATAAGTTTTTTTGAACTCTCCATCAACCGACTGTAATTTTAGTGTCTTGGTAATCACTAGATTTTATTCGGTCATGTATATTTGCATTATTCACTCAAATAAAATTTTCATTCAGAGATTACCAAGTGAATAAGTATTCATTTTTATACACCAGTGAAACCGTATAGGTATATTTTTGCTCAGCTTCCTTTATTAAAGAACCTGTAGTTGACTTTTTCACACAAATTTGTAAATATTGAGATTAAATTTTAGTAATTTTCTGCTTAAAACACTGAAGTGCTAAAGTATAACAGGGTTAAGAAAATTTCCGTCTCCAATTTTTTAAAAACATTTTCCCTCATCTTTAGTTCTACATAATTCCATAAGTTTAGGTAATTCACAGTTTAATTTTATAAGTATGTGGAAATGAGTATCTGCTCTCTTTTAATGTCGGTTCCTTTTTTTTCATGAGCATACAAATTAATGCTCTCCTTGCTGGTGTATATTTAGCACATTTCTATTCAGTTCATTCCAGTTCATAATTTTATTTTTAGATTTGCCCAGAGGAAGTACTTAATTGAATGTATTCCCTCTTACTTATTTCTTGAACTATCATACTGATTTCATTTTATAAATTTTTTTTTTTCTAATACTTCTTTGTTGTGGCCTCACATTAAATGTCAAATTAAAGAAATAAATAAGCTATTATCTGCTCATTTCTCTTTAGTTGTATTTTATAGCAAAAGCCTGTTTACTCGGTATTTGTAAGTAATCCTTTCGTGAGGGGTGTTTCGATGGAGTTATTGGAGTTGACAAGGTCTTTAGCTCCCAAGAGTTTTTCTATTGTACCTAGCATCTATAGATCTTGCAGCCGTCAAGGGGAACTTACGAAAAAAAGAGGAACAAAATCTGGTTCTGTATCAGCGTTCTTCTTTCCCTCCAACTTTGCGGGAAGAAAATGTATTCGCATTTTTTTTTTCCCAGGATAGTTTTTCTTTTTGGTGTATAAGAAACACACTACCTATGCTGATGGACTTATTCTTACATCCTCATGATTTTCCATTTGATGAAAAGAAAAAAAATTGATTAAATCAGAATTTGTGCAAGTTTTCAAAGTTAATTTTTTTTAAAAAATATCTTGAAGTCCTGAATACACTCAATCCGCAATTTATGTACCTAATGAAAATGACCTAATAGTAGTACTTCACTAGAGCGCTTAACATTCTTTTCCATTGAAGTTTGTCACTGAAAATAAGTTAGATTGAGAGTTGTAATCAATTTCTGTGATTTATTGGCTAAACGCACATGGAAAAATTATTTCGTAGTAAAACTTTCACCGAGAAGAAAATTATGAACATTTGGTACTGAGAAAGAAAGAAAAAAAAAAAAATACCAAGCCCATCATTACTTTAAAGACTAGCTTGGAATGGATAAAGTCTCCAAATGAGAATGACATACATAATAAATATGAGGGGGAATAATTTAGGGCTCAAGAAACCTCAACGATTTAGCGATACTTGCTCCAAGAGTAAAGAAATTGAAAATGCAAAAAAATATAATAAAAGATCTCTTCAAGAGGTCATGAGTCACTTTTGTTCGAAACATTTTTTTTTCTTTTTTTAATGTATTTTTCGAAGGAAATACACTATTTTTTTTCTTGATCAAACACTTGTTTTTTCCAAAACAGTTATATTTACTGTCCTTAAAGTACGCTTTTCTCAAGATGTACTTACTTACTTACTGGATGGATTTTCAAAAAAAATGTCAAGGGAGCAATTAATGAAGAAGATAAAAGCTTTTATTTGAGGAAAGCATTATTTTAGCCGTCGAGTTATGGCCAGTTACTGTTGAAGATGAGGACCTCACAATCTTTTCCGCTGCCTTTTAAATTATCTGATTATTTTCAAATGGTCCCGTTTTTGCCGCGATACTTTCAACCAATCAGAGCACTCGTCATAATTTGTCGAACGGCGAATGAGATTTCCTGCTAGGCAACATCGACGAATGAAATCCAACTTGTCTTGAAATCTTTGGTCGTCGTCGTACCTACTCACAGCGTAATCTGTAATCTTTGGTAATGTTTTTGTTAATTGTTATCATAGAGTACAATAGAGTCGCAAAGTACTGGATCGCCGATGAAGTCACTTTTCGAGGCTGTTTTGTCCAGTTCTCCGGAGACTAGTGTGCGGCGACTAGCGATGACGCATACGCAAAGACTCGCGCTCAGCGCTCCCCACTCCCGACAGTCCCGACTCGGCTCCGTTCGTCGTCGGCTAGACATAGAGTCCCTTTATACCCAGAGTAACGACAACTCGATTATCAGCTGACTGGCAGCCGACCTTGGCTGGCCATGGAGGCCGAAACTAGTGCACTCAAACGAACGATATTGGGGGATAAGGATCAGGAATCCTGCGATGTCTGTCACACAGAAACAACAACATCAACAAATTGATCAATTANCATGGATTGGCTTCATCGGCGATCCAGTACTTTGCGACTCTATTGTACTCTATGATTGTTATCATCAATTCAAAAGCGCGCTCAAAGTTCGTTACAGCGTCCGCGGATTATGGTTTCCTTTTTCTCATGTAAAAATTTGTGATAACATTCCCTCTCGTGTGTTTTCCTCCAAATCTAAACCATTCGTTTCAGTTAATTTTGGAGCTCACCTTTGCACCGTAAGAACCTTATTTTATTTCAGTAATTCTAATCTGTCTGAAGCAGGCATTTGAGGCGCCTCATGAGGTTATGCTGTACAGCATCGACTCGTAGCTTCAGCATCAATGCCGTATGCCCAGGTAGCGGCCGTTCGGGCATACGGCTCCGAGCCTGATGCGCTCAACCTGCCGGCCGCCGGCTTCGGGCATTGAAGCCCGATGCTGGAGAGCCGACCGAGCCAGCCTCAAGCGCTGATGCTGAGGTTTGATGCTGGCTCAGGGACCAACATGGGCCTCAGCCTCTGAGGCCGGACCGTCGGCTTGCGGCCCGATACGGCCTCAATTTTCGGACCCGCCACCCAGCTTAATTACCGACGGGGCTGTCCCAGAAGACCGCGACCCTCGGACTCGGCGATGAATTCGCGGAACACCCCTTTGTTTACGTTTCCCATTAGCGCGGTGGCCCACGCCGGGGCGCTGGCGTCTGACGCTTCTGCTAATTGAAGCCGCTAATTTTGATGCTGGACTCAGCATCAAAACTGATGCAGCATCAGAAAAGGAGCCGGGAGTCGGATTCACCAGGTGAAGCTGCCTCAACGGCATATGCGCACCCCCGGCGCACTGATCGAAGCGGCATGAAAGTCCGCGCCGGGCCTCCGCCTCGCGCGCCGATGCGGCTCCGTTTATGATGCTCCCTCAAACCTCAGCTCTAAATCCCTGGTCTGAAGGCCTTTGAGCAATGACTTTTCTTGCAGCATTTCCCATGCGGCTTGAGATCATAAGATAGATGATAGATTTCTTCCATAGATACCCTATTAGATTTCACGTAAGATCAAAACGTCTAAACTTAGAAAGCCTTGCTCAAGTATCCATCCAACTATATCTCATATATGTTGTTGGTCGGAGCTCAGAAATGGAACGTCTGAGAATCTAACCCTAATAGTCTGTACTCAAATCTACAAAGACAGTTCAATCAACTGGATCGTTCCTGTAGCTAAGGAAGGCTCTTTCCAAGATTAATAGCTTTATCGCCTCTTATATACTCTAAGCTGTATCAGTGCTACTTAATCATTTCCATGTTCAACCTAAAATCGTAGCTACTAGCTTTAGGTGCAAGAGAACTTTATACCCTCCTCTTTGGAGCATGGCACTGTTCAGCTGTTCAGAGCTTTAGATTTATGTAAGGATCTTCATATATTCATTTTTACTTCAATATGTAGGTAACAGTTTGTACAAAGTTCAGGAATATAGAAGTACCGAACAAACGGTTTTGCATAACAATCTTGATTTCATGCCTCTCGGTAACTTGCTCAAAATTTGCCAACATTCCGCCATCTCCCTTGTAATTAGAGTACATGAATATGCACCTATATATGACTGATTTTAAAAGATAAAACAGCTGTACTCTGGTTTTGGTTCGTTTAAAGAATGCATTCAGGAAACATTTTCATCCTGGGATTTAAATACTATACTCACTAACTATTAACTAATATACTTTAACATTAAGCTCTCTTAACTTTGACCAGCTGTATTCTAAATATTCCCAATTCTTTGTAACATAAGTATAATAAGAATGTATCTTTTACCTCTGTTTTGTAAGATGGCGAAACTTCTTTTTTTTTTTCGCTGGTCTCAAAGTCTTCATCAGCAGGTTTTTAAATTCTACTTTGAATATGAATTGTTCAGCCCACATAATGAATATCACTATGTGATGAATGATGATTTCTCCTCTTACTTCCTGACCAACTTAACCCAGTTCCCTAGAGTTCAAGAGGCATGCTCTATTTTCATGCAGTTTTAGCTTTTTTTTGGCGCACTAATCTTGAAGATGTTCAAAGGTTTCAAAAAGATTTCCTGTAGTATCTTGCAGGAGCAGTCTCTAGAGATAAGCGTAAGTATAGCTGGATATCTCCACTGTGCTCAAAATAGACTTGTGAGAACTTTGACAGCTTCTTGTAATTTGAAGATGACCCTGTAAAATTGGACCTGCTCCAAAAATTTTATGCAAAATAATTTCTTGGAAGAGGATCAAATTTTTTCATTCATGCGGCTCAGTTGTAAGTCAGAGTGTGGAAAAGAGTCTCATCATGTGTTACTTGAATAAAGTCAAAGTGCAAAATTTTTCTGAACATATTTTCCTTGCCCAATAATTTGATCCAAATGTTTTTTTCTTCTTTTCTTCCATAAAAATTCTGATTGATCAGCGCTAATTTTGAACCAGTTACGCACGTATTGATCTCCATCATAATATTTTTAAAATAACTTAGCAGGTGCTTTTTTGTTTTGTTTTTGCAGTATAATGAAGACTACCAACAAAGCTGAGCAATCTACATCAACAGCCAAGGTGAGATACAAATTTTTGCTTCCTTGAATAACTCACGAGGACAATTCGTTTAGGTCCATAAATGCGGAAACTCTCAGTATTTCTTCCAATTGTTTTTTGGCAGCACAGAATTTGATGATATACCTAATTGAATGGTTTTCTCCAAACTCCGCCCAAGTCCATTCTGCCATGCCTAATTTCCCCCCATTCATCATGTTTTTAGTCAGAAACAAAAGGACAAAATGTCTTGAAATGTAAAAGAATTTCGGTTAATTACAACAGGAAACTAGGATTTTGTTGGTTGTCTGATTTTTTAAGACCACCATCACATCACTGTGCACCTTAGACCAAGCTGTATAGTTTCTCTTGAGATACACTTTCTTTAAGCAGTTTTCTGCACCATAAATAACTGTGCTAATGCCTAGTGCCTCTTTTTTTCAAATGATTGAAGTGTCAAAAAACCGATGTCACATGTTTCCAAATGATCAACAGATTCCTAAATAGAGAATTTGCAGGTGTCTGAAATTTGATGAATTTCGTGTTGAAGGGGAAACTACTGAGTGAACTGAACATGAGGATACCTTCATGAATTGAACGATTATTGGAGAGGATATGACAAAATTATCTAATCTGCTAAAATACATGTGGTTAAATGGGAAATGCCGCCAGATGACGTCACTAGGCGGTGCATTTTCTCACTTTTAAATCTATCTTTATACTATTTCCCATATCAGGAAGAAGTTAAAAATAATACTGTGAAATCAGCTCTTATAGCACTTCCAGATGAAGCAATAAAAAATTTGCATTCAAATTATCCATTGAATAATTTCTGCATAACTGAACCAAGAAGCATGCACTCACAAGACGTCAAGGCTGAATGTTGAATGGTTTCCCATCAATGTAAAGAAGAAAACTCAAGAGGGGCTTAAGCAGTAATACTTTCAAGATGATTCTAGTCAAGGCTGTACAAATCCCCCTTTTTAACACCATTACTGATTTAATTAGTACAGACGCTGGAAACTCAAAACAAGCCAGGATTCAATTTACTCACACACCTAACAGTAATAAAAAAAAGAGGGCAATATTTTCTTGATGCTTACTTACTTACTATTTGAATACTATTGAATGCAATTTTTGAATGATGTCTTAGACTTCTTATCTTGAAATCCCTTTTCCCTGTTGAGGTCGGGCCACAGAGCGGCCAGGGGGGGGGACTACCTAAGATCATAATAATATCATTTCAGTACTGTGATGCAAATTCCTCTTTTTCAGAAAGCCCCAGTGAAAGGTTTTCGGAAACTGCTTCAACCTTTGCAAGTGTCGGCAACAGACAAAGAAAATTTGGTCGGTGCAGGTCGATCCGCTCCCCTTAAGTAAGTTACACAAGCTAATTTTCTTCTACTTTCTAGTTATTTCTGTGATCGTTTTTATTATTTTTAGAGGAACTGGGAATTGTCCTGCAAAATAACAAGTGCTCTGGCATGAAAGTTTGAGAGCCACTAGCTCATGACAAAATGTCAATCTTTTCATCTATTAAGTTGGAGATTTTCTTTAAGAGATTGCTTCTAAAAGCCTGTCAAATATTACAAACAACGCACCTAATAAAGATAGTCCAACATAGCCATGTTTTTGAAAGTGCTTTTTAAAATTTGTATGCAGTATACCTGATTGATGCAATATGTTTTGTTTCTTTCACAACAGGGACGTTCTGGAAAAGCCTGGCTCTAAACAGAAGGAAACCAGAGAGATTGAAAAGCCTGCCAAAACAACCATCACAATTGATAAACCCGTCAAATCTGCTATCACAATTGAAGATTTGACCTCAGGTAAAGTCTTAAACGTTGATGATACCTACATTATTACAACAGCAATAAGAGGTAGTCTGTTTTGACGTATTGATATCCATTAGCCAAAAAGCTACTTCTGAATGTCGGAAAAAACTGGAAGGCTCCTTACAATATATTGAAAACCTACTTGAAAAAGTTATTTTTAAAAGCTGTAGGTAATCACTGATTGGTTTTTTTTTATTATTTTTATTGTTTTTTTTTTTTGTTTTTTTTTGGAGATTAAATTGCCCTCCAATGAACTTTCCAACATTGAATGAGCTTTACCAACCATTTTTTTAAGAAAATCGTCCATTTGTCTTTCCTTGAAGTCTCAAGTCTGATCTCCTGTGAAAGCGTGAAATTCAATAATTCATGATATTCCTCTGTGGATAAAGCAATGAAATTCGTTTAGTACATGCTTTGACTCCAGCAGACTTCGGTTTCATGCTATGGGAGACGTTTAAATCGATGGACAAAAAGCTCACTTACCTTTGAGTTTCTTAGCTTATGAATTAAAGTTCCAAATTCATCATGTATTGAAATAGAGAAATACAAAGATATGGACTACTTCCCATGATTTGAAACTTTTTAAAGCCTTTCCAAATTTCTACAAAATTTTCGCCAAAGTCTAATTTTCCGAAAATTTCTGCCAAAATTTCACCATTAGATAGCTTGAAGAAAGAGGTTTATCACTCTTTTGAAAATTTCTTCTAATGATTAGCCTTACACACGCCACATAGATACAGCAGGATTGTCCAGATTACGATTTTGAGTTTTTTTAAGTTTCTGAAGTTTCTGCACCCTTGACAGGAGGTTGGATGTAACCAGCCCTTAAAAAATAATTCAGAATCTTAGTAGTGTTTCCGAATGCCTATATCAATCTTATCCATCTGTCATTTCAGATACTCCTAGTGCGAACTACTGGGAACTGAAGTGCAAGCAGCTCACCAAATCTTTAGAAGAAACACTGACTGAAAACAGAGTCCTGCACGAACGGATCAAACTTTTAGAGGAAGAAAATGAGTTGTGCAAGCAACAGTTGTACGAAACTGCTGAAATCGTCACTTGCCTAACTGTAAGACAAAGTTTTTTTTTACCTTTTCCAACGTAACTCTGATATTATTTTGACAACGTAGTCTTATTTTGCACCCGTATTCCTGAATGAGGGGCAGACGAGTTCGTGGTTGATTGGCTGAAATGTGTATGGTATTTAAGTGTGGTTGAATTGACTCCTTATCAATAGTTAATTTCAAAACACTTGTATTTTAATTTGCGCCATGGCAGACTCATATATAACATTTTATTTTTTTCAATAGAAAACTAATGAGCGTCACTTCTTGGAATTTTTATTGGTTTTTCTTCAATCTGCACAGTATATTCTTTAAAAATTTCAAATTATGACTTTCACTTTTTTCATTCCATTTTTTTCCGAAGGGGAGGGGGTCTGACAACAACCACAGCAGCAGAGATTTTTAACCTTTACAATAGAAGTATAAGGGTGGCCACAGTCAAGGGACCCTCAGAGTCAGAAAACATACATGGGTCAAAAAATGGTGGTTAAAAGAACCAAAAGTCAGTGAAATTATGTATTGTATTTACAAAAAAAAAAACCAAATTTGTACATGTCATGTTTGATAGCTTCAACTTTTCTTCCAGCCGAATCGGAGAATCATTTCTTACCATTTTCCAAACTTTCCTAAAAAATGCCCCTCTTACCTATCAGCAGGTGTCTCACCTCTACCGTTTCTATTTTCTTCATAAATATCTCTTGTTTGAACTCATTCACCTCCTCTGTTTTCAGGAAATCATCAACGAACCGAATGACCAACGACCAGAAAACGATCAGATGAACTGAATTTACCTTTCTAAAATGTTAGACTCATTTGTATTCATGAACGGCAATCTTTATCTTGTAGCAAGATTTTGTTTTTGTTTCTCATTATGTATGCTCATTTACTTTTATACAGGAAACATCATTTTTAAGAAATTGTGTTTTGAAAGGTTTTTTTTCTCGCCCATGTTCTCTGCCAATACGGAATTCTCTTATATCACTTTTGAGGTTTCAAAGCTTCTGTAGACTTTTCCTCTTCTTATGTACAAAAATGTAGAATTACCAGTAAAATGCAAAACCTCCATGTCACCTAAGCATCATCTTTTCCTCGATCTCTCACTTTTTTTTATTTGCGTACAAAACTGGCATATTGTTTTGAGTTCTCTCTTATTTCTGGTCAATCCTCCTATACAGTGGTAGAGACTTCTTTTCAAAGGGCGGCTTGTTATGTTTTTGTAAGAAACTATGTTCAGCAGACTCAGATCTACCCTCAAATCAAGTGATCTTCGTTGCTTCCTTCGAGCTGATGAAGCAGAAAGTTTTAATTTTCTTGATTTGTTCTATCAGTGTTCGAACATCTCCTGGGCTTGATTCCTCTAATATTTCAATCCTTCTATACCAAGTCAAGAAATTTCAAAACATAATTGTGAAGGGCTCCAGAAGGAGGGCTAGCAATGATTCAGGTAAGCTTTTTTCTCCAAGAAGCAGCTATCTGGACAAGCAGCAAAGACGCTGAGAACATAGCTACTTGCTTGTCTAGATAAGAATTAGAGAAACGAACTTGTCTTTGTTTTAGGGGCTTTCCCTCCGGAATCCTCCTCAATTCATCGTTTTCTGCTTGAAGGAACAAATCTTGTTGGCGCTATTTTAGTGTTTATACGAATTTTTTTTCCCCCCTCTCCAGTGGCTAACCATTGTACGAGTTTATCTGAAAATTTCAGCCTTTTTTTTTTTTTTTTTTTTGCAAGTGTAAGAAATAATCAAAGGAAAGGTCAGGTAAATTCATGTGATGGTTCTCCTGTAAAAAAATAAAATTTCACTGAAAATTCTAAATTAGTGCAATCGAAATACGCATATGTTCCTTTGTGCAGGAGACAGCATATTGCAGTCAACTTTTGCTGGGGGTCGACCTGAGTCCTTTTAATGGAGATTGAAAAATCTTAAACTCCTTAAGTGAGCTTTTAGGTAACTCTTAATGTGTGCATTTGTTCTGTAAGCACATCTCTGTAAAATCATTTAAAGTTTTCACCTCCTAAAATAATTGTAATTCCCATCTGTGTGAGATATAAGTATTTTTAGAGTTCAGAAGACATGGCCTAAGGATATTTTAAATAGAACTAGTTTTTTAATAATTGTTGAAGTTTTAAATTTTTTTAATCGATTTAGCTTTTAACTTCTTTTTACTTTTTTACTGACTTCTTTCATCACTGCTCATTGAATTAGTATGTATGTGTGAATACTTTGTATACTGAGCTCAAGATGATAATAATCTTAATTTGTAAAGTTAATTTTTTTTCTCGTAATAATACTAATTGTAAGCTAGCTTATATCGTTAAAACAAAGTCATATGTATCTCTAGTTTCTCGCTTTGTTGGTAAAAATTCAAAGGTACAACATTGAGCAAGTTTACCATTATGTAGTTATAAATGACCAAAGCTTTGTAAGTTAAACAGTAGCCAACTCAACCAGTTCGCCTGAAGCCATTCATTTATTCCTCAGGGCCTGCATATATTGAGGTGCAAAGTGCGCAATGTTGCTATTTTGGAAATTACCTCCCTAAATTTTGTTTCTTCTTTTGTGGCAACAAATAAAATGGCTGTAAAACCCATGGCAATGCTGAAACTTATACTAATGATAAAATCTGTTTGTCATGGAGTTAAAATCTACCTACAATTTGATGGACAAGTGACAATTTTCTTTCTTTGATTTTAAGCTATGTTCTAGCTATCAATCGATGAGGGAATGTCACCAAATTTTTGGAACTAATGAAAGCTCAATATGTACATCAAATCTTTTCTTACAACATAATACACCATCATTCATTGCTTGAATTCCTGGATTAATTTTTTTTGTCAATTTCATTAAAGCGATAACTTCTGAATGTTCTGTTTTTTCCTTGAGACAACTTGTGAGAAATTTGTTTCATAATTTTAACTCTAATTCTTTTTGTTCTGTGCTCCTGTCAATAAAACTACAGTAATTTTTCAAGTTATAAGAAATATTGACCGGTTTTTTTCCTTCATCAATTCCTAGTCTGGGGAAATCTTGAATGTTTTTTATTTGTACTCTTGCTCAAGCAATATTGTAAAACTTCCTTTTGAAATTAACCAGATTATCGAAAACTTCCAAAGGCACCGTTAGGCATTCTTCTTAGTGTTTAAGGACAATTCACAAAACCATGATAGTTTATTTACAACAGTTTTATTTTTAAACAAAAATTATCAATTTAGTATGTTTTTTGTAGAAAAAAAATAAAATTAAACCTGAACAAACAATCTGAACTGTCAAGCCCAGCTCATGTAAAACTTTTCAATCAGCAAAAACAACAACTTTCATTCGCAATAATAATAAATAACATGTTCTGTACAGATAATCTTTAAGGTATGTGATTGTTAGCAAATTAGAATCAATTCGAGCAGGAGTAGAAAATGCTCACTTTTCTATCATAATTCCTCATTTACAAGTTGCTAATATAAATACACTATAGACGTAAAAATAACTGTACATGACTTGAAACTTTGAGTTACAAGAGTATCATAAAACAAAGTCAATTTAAAAAGAAAGAAATACTTAAAAAAGAAAAGGACGATGGAAGATCAAAAATAAATGGCATCTTGAGAATCTCTCTCTTTTAAACCAATATTAAAATGATGACTTATCTTGCGACTGTTCCTCTAAGGCTAAGAAATCTTACGGAATTGTCAACGATTAAAATTTTCTGTCTGCAAGGGCAGTGAGTTGAAAATTTGTGAGATGCCAGAGCCCAGACAAGAAAAATGTTGACGACCCCAAAAATTTTCAAACAGGCCAAAAAACTAAGACCTGAAACTGCTATTTAACGAGTTGAGGTCAGATATTGACGGATTCTCATTATTGGAAATTGTAAGAAAAATGAGATTATCCTCAATTTCTACAAAGCGGTAGATTAATCAGTTTTTGGTGAAGATCTGCCATTCAAGTTTGAAAAAAAAGAAAATAAATTATTCTGGCTTTTACTGACTTTTTAAGTCAGATTTGGTAAACAGAATTTTTCTTGTAGAAAATCATTAAATTAAAATCAGCAGAAATGGATTGAAGTACAGTAGTGGAAGGCAACGTGTCAACACCAAGAATATCTGATGACATCAGTGTCATCGTGATTCAAGGAAAGAGATGATAAAATCAAGGAAGTTCGGTAATACATACTTAAGACAGTAATTGGATCTTCTTGCATTTGAATGCTTACTTCCGTCAGAAAAAATCTACTCAAATCATAATTTGTAGCATAATCAAGCAATCAATCAACGACAAACACAACTTAAATTGGAAAAAACAAGACAGGGACAGCAGTAAAAATGGAGACATTTCGAATTTTCGGAAAACCATTGCACATGAACTACATACTTTCAATCGATAAACATTACTGCCCGCAGTTTGGGATTAATTTTTTCAGGCACTTTAATACCTGGATAATCATCTAGAGGACTTGATAGGACTCCAATTAAATTAGCCATATTATGTTACAATTAATTAAAATATTTGAACCTGCCACGATAATCCTTTGGTAAATTTTCGATTAATTTTGGTAAAACATTTTAATTAAGGTCCAGGTTTCATGCTACCATAGGACAGGTCAACCGATCAGTTGAGTATTGAAAATGAGAAAAAAAATATTCACAACTGAAATTATGAAATTCGAGATTTCAGAAATATTTATCTGGTGGGTACTCAAATACGTATGATTGAATGCCTCAATGAGACAACCTCAATTTAAGAGGGTTCAGCCTAGGAAAAATATGCACATCTCAGTTCTAATATTTCAAAAGCGCAAATTTTTCCATTTCAGGGGCACAAGTGTTCATAATTGTACGAAAGAGGTCAATTAGGAATAGGACTCCACAGTTTAGTTTCAGAACAAACATTTCAGACAACCTAAAACTAAAGGAGGGATTGATAAAGTGCGCATTGTGGACGAAACTTATGACATTTGCGAGGCTTAATTTAAATTTCTTCTCATCACAGATGAATACAGCAACCTGCTTGCAATAGAATTTGAAATAAATTAATTTAGAACCTGATAGAGGCTGGTGTGAAAAAAGTGCTTAAATATGATAGGCGACAAGTCCAAACATAAAATTCTGATCATGCAGTGCACTGTGTAAATGAAAAGTAAAACGAAAATGAATTTTGTTAAAACTTATAGTGGCGCTTCCAAAAAGATAATAGAACTCATAAATGTTGCCGACACAGAAAAACTTAAGCTCCTTCATGCAACAGCTTAACTGGTCTCATTCATAGAAATTTGTTTAGAAATCTACATAAAAAAGGAACTTAATTCAAAACAATTCGAACACAATGTCATCCATTTCAGAGCTCCTGCTTACTTAACCTTTTTATATGACTCTGTCTCCTACATACGACTATGTGTGTTGTAGCAGTTTAAGCTCAATCGAGATCCTGGTTAGCTTTTCAGTTCAAAGAATCGTGCTTCATTTGAGGGAACAGATCATTCATGACCTTTTCCAAATCGAGTGTTTTGTCTGTTAGATCAAGCGTAATCGTGACAGGTTTCGAAGTAGAGATGTCTTGTTCATGGTGCTTGTCCAGATCAATGGTTTGGTCCGGCAGGATCTGCGTAACCATTACGGGCATCACCGGAGGGTTACGTCGAGAACGAGGCTTTCTGGCAGGCTTGACCGGATTCTGGGTCTTTTCTGTCACGTCTTGTGCGATTATAAACGGCTTTGAAATGGAGATATTTTGAGACATCTCCTCTACTAAGTTGAAGGTTTGGTTCGACAGGTCCTGCGTAACAGTGACAGGCTTTGAAGGAGCAATCCGTCGTACGCGCGGTTTAGTCGTACTCTTGTTCATATTGAAAGTTTTGCCTATTGGGTCCTGTATGATCGTAGTAGACTTTGAAATAGGAACGTTTTGTATGTCATGCGTTATTATAACCTTATCAAGATCAAGGGTTTGCTCGTTTAGGTCCTGCATAACTGCCACAGGCTTTGGAGTGGAGATACATCTCGCGCGGGGCTTGCTTGTAGCCTTCTGCAGATTGTGGGTTTTGTCTGTTATGTTTGCCGTGATCATAACAGGCTTTGAAATAGGTGTTTTTCGTGCACGAGGCTTACTTGCGACCTTGTCCAGATCTTGCGTTTGGGCTGTTAAGTCTTGTGTGGTCACGAAAGGACGGTGCTTATGGTTCCGCTTTATGTGCTGCTGAAGATTGCCCTTCTGTGCGAAAGCGGCACCACACTCAGGACAGGACCATGGTTTCTCTCCAGTATGCCGTTTCATGTGCATGACAAGCGCATTTTTCTGATTGAACGCTTTTGGGCACTCAGTGCACCTGGAACAAAAAAAAATACATTGTTTGTTGAGTAGGAGAGTACATTAGGGTACAGCTTGTTTCAATAAATTAAACTAATGAACTTGAAAATTAACAGAGCACCCTGCCAAAAAAGTTCAGTCTGTGTAAAAACAAACAGTGTAGGGCAATTTTTAATTTGATCAAATTTCAAAAGTTCTGACACACCTTTAAATTCTTACAAGATTTTTCTACAAAAAAACCCGGTTTCTTTTTGATACGTTATTTTAGAGAGGTTATTTTCTCATTCAGCAATAAGAAGTACACTAGATCGGTCCCATGTAAACACGTACAAGAAATAATTTTACCTTCCCGTTTAAACGTAAAACAAACGGATAAGATTTACATTGGGTCAATGGGCAGCTTTGGTCGCTTATTTGAGGATTCTTTGCTATCAGGAAGAATAAGATAAAGTCTCAGGTATGCCAAGGGTGATTGCCAATAAATTGTTAGCTGCTGTCACCAAAAATGACCTTGATTTAACCCAAAATGTCTCACTTTTCTAGAAAATCGAATTTTTCGAGAAAAAAAAAGGGGAAAAAGGACAGCGTTTGTAAGGGAAAATATTGAGTTAAAAAAATCTAATTCTTACATACTTCTTGGGTAGAAGATTGATTGAAAAAGCGTTGCACTAGGAACAAACGGATAATTGATTGTAAGAAGGAAGAAGGATGCTTGGGAAATAATATCGTCTATCATGAACGCAACTAACCTGAACGGACGCTCTCCAGTATGAATGCGGACATGCCTTGTAAGCTGGGATAGTTTCTTGAAACTTTTGCCACACTCGCGACAGGTGTGGAACGTTTGCACATAGACATTTTTGTCTGCATCAGAGTTTAACAGAGAGAGAGGTTGAACAACAAGAGAGTCTTTGGTTGCGATGATTGTGTCTGAGGAAACAATATTATCCTCTGCGATAACTTCAGTTTCTGAAGGGATTTCGGATGTAATTACTGTATCCTGTTCCATGTCATTTGATATTACTATGGTCTGCATACCATTGAGAACATTCTCATTGAGGTTTAGCGCTTCTTTTTTCCCATTTTTCATGTGCATAAGCAAGTGAGTCTTGCGGTGGCCAGATGTTCGAAAACGTTGACTACAGATTGGACAACGGAACGGCATAGCTCCTAAAAATCAATGAAAACAAACTTCAGTATAAGAAATAGTTAATGAATTCACAATCCAAAGATGAAGGCTTTAGCCAGTTTCTGTTCTGCTGAAAAATACAAACAAGTCGACCAAAAAGGCACGAATCAGACGAGTAATTTTTCACAAATTCACAGAGCAAAAAATTAAGAATTAAAAGAAAAAAAACCCCTTAAGTGTGCATAAAATTGATACTAATGCACAGTTTTTGCACTTTAGATCATTTTATTTATCAAAAATGCTGGGTTTTGACCCAACCTTATTCTTTAGTTCAGTCTTTAGGGTTTTTCTTTAACTCAAATTTAAGCAAGCATCACAAGACATGAGATGTCCTTCGTCAAGCTGGTTATGAAAGCCATTTTTTAAGCTAAAATGGTCAACGTGATCGAACCATTTTGAAACATATTTTTACAGCATTGTTGAACAATTATAAAACCACTCGCCGATGTACCATGCAATCCTGATGTACGTTTCATGGACGTAAACAAGAGGTAGCTTCAGCGTTACAGTAACATATCAATGGCTTAAGTCCGCAATCACATATCTCGTTTGCGGTGTCTGGAAATCTCGGCCTCTAAGATATTTTTTAAAAGAGAACAAATTGACATCATTCCTTGAAGTTTATGCAGAATTGTCTTCACACAGAGAAAAAACATCACGGCAATTTCAAAGAAATGCCGTTGAGTAGTTTTCCATTTAAAAAATAAAGTATGACAGGAAGTCTGCTCCATCGCGAACCAAGTTATGTGATCGCCGACTTACACCGTCGATATGTGACAGTGGTTTAAAGCAGCCACATTTCACTGTTTTCTGGCATTTTTTCACAGCCTGAAAGAAACTAATGCAAAAATATATATGAAATTAGAATGAAAGGATTTTGAAATCAAAATCAGTATACCTGTGTGCAACCGCATATGAACTTTCAAGCTGCCTTTTGTCGCAAAATGATAGCCACAAACATGGCACGAGAAGTGTTTTTTGCCAATGCTGTGTGTTTTTAGATGGCATTCAAGCGTGGATTTAACAGTGAAGCACTTCAAGCAAATCTGACATTGGAACGGTCGTTCTCCTGTGTGGATTCGTAAGTGACGGATTAAATCACTCGGTTTGCGGAAGCTCTTTGGACAGTATTTACATTGGTGCTGGTGCATTGGCTCTTTTTCAAACTTCTCCTCTGGCTCCTAGAGAATAAAAAAATTATACATCCAATAAAAATGTAATATGCTGTCACCATCATCCTTCAGATAGAAAAGTACTTGAAAGAATGGATCTTAGTTCTTGGAACAAGATTTTCTTTTAAGATTTTTCACACGTTAGACTGAAAATTTAGTATTCACTATTAAAGTCTTTGATAAGAGCAATCTTGATGCAAGATAGCAATCTTTTCATTTATATGCTTTTGATTTCAGCTTGGATGTGATCGTTTCTGTCAATTGTTGATTGATTGCGCTGAAATAGCTCAACTCTTACTTTCCACAGTCATTGACAAACAACCATTTTTGAGAAAAAAATTAATTTTTGAAAATTTAATTTTTACTGTCAAAATTTGTGATACCACTTTAAAAACGCTGTGAAAAATTTCGTTTTTTTGACTATGCATAATGGACAAATTTTAATTTTAATGACCTTATGGTTTTAAACGTTTGCTCAAATATTAAAAGCTGATTTTTAGTTAACCTGAAAATTGGTTTGAGTCTTTAGTTTTAGTAAAAAAATGACGCAAAAAAAACCTTGTCCGAAGTGATAGATAGGGGGTGAATTGAGACATGAATGCAAAAGAAATGAGTTAATAAGCTGCTTTTAATTAAATACCTTGATGTCATTGACCCGATCTTTCTCTGCTATTAGAGAAATTAAGACCTTTTCTGATACAGAGGAAACCGTCTCCGGCTGAACCTTGGCAAGTTCTTTTCTCTCATCTTCCGTCAAAACTCGCGCAGCACCTCTTTTCCATCTTGATTTTTTCTTTGTTGATGATTCTAAATTAATGATTGTTTGAAGGTTTAACAGGTCATGTGTTGTCACCAATGAACTAGAAAATTGAAAAATAGAGACTCACTGAAAAGCTAGAATTATGCATACATTGACGTAAACCTAAATGCTAAAGATTACAATCAAGATTAAAATTATTTGTCCTGCATAGGTCACTTGCGTTAAATAGTCTGATTTCTGTAAACAGAAGTTCAAGAACACTGGCAATATTTAATCTTTGAGAAATATGCATGACATTTAAATATTTTCTCAACTGTTGCAGTTTAGAAGAAGATGGGAACTTGAACACTTGATTGTTCTCTAAAAATTTCAAAAACTATTACATAGCATGATGATGCTCTGAGATGGAAAAGTTATTTTTCATCAGTTAATTCCAACTCAGCATTTAAAAATTCCTAACGGAGCTATTGCTGTTTTTAAGCATTTCTCGGCCCCCTGAATGCATATCCTAAAGTTTTGCAAAATCTCACAAAAATATAAATTTTATGACATTTAATGTCATGGAATTGTTCATCTTCGCCCGTTCAGCCACCTCTTGTTACAGATTTATCCTCTGGTTAAAAAGCATAAGAGCAAGCACTTCCAAAACAGCAATGCTTTCCACCGGTTTTTTAGCACAAATTGGGATAAGCGTTCTCTAAAGATGTTAAAATTTTACAGGAAGCATGGGCAAAAAAAAGGAAGATTGAAAATCGTAAGGAAAGAGGCTAGTTTCCTCAAAAACATCTTTTAGTGGAAAGTGCTCATGGATTTTGGTTATTTATTACATATGATAAAATTTGTGACTCATTTCGTCTAGAGCTCTATGTTAATCTACAGAAACATCTCCTTCCATTACGAAAAGTTGAAATTCACTTCAATTATTATACTTGAAACAGTGAATATTTTTAAGATACGACAATATAAAAAATCCTTACTGTTGCTCATCGTTGAGTGTTTCCAAGTGCGTCTGGAATGCAACACCTGAGGGGAATTCTTCATGACACACTGGGCACTCGATCGAGAAATTTATGCTTGCTTTCGTCTGATCATCCCTATTCTCAGCACCACTGTTATCTACATGATAAGATCCCAGTGCTTTTGACTTGTACTGTAACAGATTTTTTTGTTGGAAAAACTGTTAATAAACAAAAATTTAATAAAATATGCTCTCATGTATGATCACTCTTAAAACCTCTAAAATATCCAGAATAAATGTTGATTTAAATGAAGATACAATGAAAACTCTGCTATGTGTTAAAAATTGAAATTGGTGATGTTTTTTTGGTTAAAATTAAATTTTAGTCTTCTTCAACACAGTAATATATTGGTACTGTATACATATAATGAGAAATATTTATACAAATTCCTGAAATTAAATACTTTGCATTTAATCAAACTGAAGGAGTTTGAAATCACTCTTAAATCCGTCCCATGTGAACCATTCTATCTTTTGACTGGATTAATCATTTGAGCCTTAGTTCAAGGCATGGCTTAAAGCACTGTGGACTGTTAAACGGGTCTGCAGTTCGAATCCCTAAACACAACAGAGCTTTGAATTTTTCCTTTTTTTCTTCCCACTGCATACGGAACTATCTTTTTTCCAGATATTTATACAGTAAAAAATTGTTATCTGTTGTATTAATTACAATAGATCAAGTAAGGACATTTGGCTTTTCAAGTGTTCAAAACACCGCATTTTCCCCATTTTTTATTTCTCTCTTCATTATTCTACTTGATCACTTGCTAGCTCAAGAGGCAGATACACCTGCGAGCTAGATGCGCGTCATGAGTAGCGAGTAGGCCTGCGGCCGTGTTCGGCAATCTTCGTAACCAATCAGGTCGCAACTCGCCACTCATAACTCGCTCAAAGTAGAATTGGATCCTACTTTTCGGGTCAAGATGTGCGTGTAGCGCGCAGGTGTATCTGGCCCTTCAGTCCATGACTGCGGTTATTGATCAGAGTAACATGGTAGTTGATTAAAGAAGATACACTACAGGTTTGTCATGTCTATTTAAATGCATTTCCCCTCGATTTCTTTCTTTCTTTCTTTTTTTTAAATTGACAGCAGTATTATTAGATCAATTAATCATCAATCTAATAAACGATCATAATTCATTGAATTAACAAACAAAAAATTGGAGAAAAAGTAAATAAAATAGTATTGGTATAAGTGCAGTCAGTTCAAATTAAAAAATTAACCATAACATTACTGATAAGAATGATCAAAAATTATGATGGATCATTAAGATTCAAACTGCAGACTTCTCGGCCAGTGTACGCAACTTTGAGCCACTTCACAACCTACTTCAGCCCTGAAACACGAGGCACATTGTTTTGCCACTTCGACAAGTGACTCTTTTTGCAAATTTCTTTTTATTTTTTGGGGGGTCTCCCATGGCCTATTCACAAAAACAGAGAAAAAGGCGTCTAATAGATTTGTATGAAGATACTTTTGGCCTTACTCTGATCGAAATTTCGGAGAAATTTTACATGACCTTCTCTCGAAATATTCCTATTAGGTGTGATAAAACTTGATTTTGTACAGTCTCTGTTTACTTACTGATTTTCGTCTGCCTACTGGCCTTGATTTGCGTCTGCTAGTTTTAGCTCTCACTGTCTTCGAAGACGACATAAGTTCAGGTTCTGCTGACAGTATCGGAGCAAAAGTCGTGATTGATGCGGCTGGATCGACAGAGGTCCCTAATACTGATGTTATGGGTATTCCAGACGTTACCACCACAGGGTCTAGAGTTGTGTGCACTAATCTATGCGACTCCAGATCTAAATTGCTTCCGAATGTAGAATCACACACTTCACATCTGAAAAAAAAACGAAGTTTAGAAGGAATTTATGCTTAGAAAGACAGTTTGCATTTTAATAGTTTCTCACCTAAATGACACTCTAGAATTCTATTTGAAATGGGAACAAATCCGCATAATATAATCAGTGTTCGAAACTCACCTAAGAATTTCAGGAGCCATGTGGCCCATCAAGCTCAATTTTCAGGGGCCATTGAAGATTTTTTAGGGGCTAAATTGACTTTTTGCCTATGTATCACAGCGCTTTCTGTGAAACGTCAGATGCAAGATAATTTAGTTACAGAACTAATAGCTGTAACTTGTAACTTTCAAAAAATCACCGAACAGAAAAATTCGGAATTTTTTTTTTTTTGGGGGGGGGGCACTTTTTAGGGGCCACGTTGGTGCAGAGCTTTCGTTTCTTAGGCGCCACAATCGATTTTTTAGGCGCATTTGGAGCCTGTGAGTTCCGAACACTGAATATTATATAACATAAAAACAATAGAAATTATAAGTAATATAAGGAAAGTTTTTTAAGTTTGTTAGATGGAAAGAGAGATCTCTCTCAAGGCAAACCTGATTACGGGCTACTATGGAGAACTGCCTGACAACGCAGCAAATTTGAAAAAGCTCAATACAAACTATGCAGGCTGCACACTTTGATATTCCAGATTTTCCTGACTTCTAGAGGGAAGAGGATAATCCATAATTCAAAATTACTTTAACTCCCTCACAAAAGAGATCTCTCTAACATCAGTCTGTTATTTTGTTGGAGGAACCTTTTCCTCATCTTAAGAGCTGATAAGGAGTTAAGCAATTATTTTTGAACAAACAGGAAGAGAGGAAAAGACAGAAGAGGAGAACCACTTACCTAAACTCATTTATAATTTTTATGTTTTGAGGCAGGATATTGGTTACTCCAGAACTGGAGGAGGTAACGATAACTTGATTGAGTCCTGAGACAAGTTCATCGCTGGGAATCTCTATTGACGAAAAGACGCAGTTGTTGAAAGATCGGTCGAAATTGATGATGGTTTGACAGGTCCCTTGGTCTTTGTCTAATGTAACCGCGCTCACATTTCCGCCAAACAGCTGCTGATTCAACGAGTCCTCGATTTCTTGCAGGCTTTCCTAAGTAAAATTAGAGGAAAAATCAGAATTCAGTATACATACTTTGTGCAGCTTCAAGAATAAAAAAAACCAACCAATCTATTGCATAATTTTTTCATAAACACACAGTTTTCTCTCAGTCTCATCAAAACTTTAGAGGGGAGATCGCAAAATCTTTGGAAAATAGGACGTCCTACTAAAAAATCTATTCATTCTCAAATGTCCTGTTACTTCTTAAGACAGCCAGCATTTACTGCTATGAATGAGAAAATAGAGAGATTTGACCACTTTTCAAGCATCCTTCTGATACTTAAGCACTTTCAAGGTCTTGAAAAAAAAGTCAAAGAGAATTCTAACTATCGCAGTTTAAGGATCTTACTTGGGATAAGGTTTGTCCAGCGGATCTGTTTTCATCGGAGTTGATGTGAGCTTCGCAACCACTTTCTTTGCTAGTCTCAGCATAAACAATTTCCTCTGTTATCTTCTCAGCTGGTTCTTCTAAAAGCCTAAACTGACCTTCAACACCACTGAACACGACATCTTCCGAGGTTAGTTCTTCAGTTAAACTATACACAACATCGTCATAGGTTGTTGGTTCATCTTTTTCTGCAGATTCTCCTTTCTTTTCTATTTGGATTTCCTGGCAACAGAAGGTCAACGAGACGACAAAAATAAATGAAAAACGATCATAGAGTAAAATTATACCGTTTTTAAACTTTGGTTAACATAAAAAAGGAGCATTTGAATTCAAACAGAGGCTCTTTACCGTCAATTTTAGCAATAAAACATATAGACTTAAAAAAAAAAAAGTGGCCGTAGACAACAGCAAATCAATATGTACAATTAATAATTTTCGCTTATCTGTGATTTAAATTATCTTTGGCACACTGATGAGGTGTTTGGGAAATGCAGTCAGGATTTCAATGAAAAAAAATAACAGAATCGCATTGACTCATAACAGTAAAACTTTTAAATTTTCATACAATGGGTCACTAAACCATGAACGAATTTTGACTTGCGAATATAGTTTTCTGAAGGAAAATGATGCATAGAACATGATGCGCACATTAAAAACAAGTTGCTCAATAACCGAGAAATGCGCAGTTCAAATCCCTTAACTTATACGCAAATTTAAAACACCCCGGTTTCGCGCCGCACCGAATGATGTCATCTGGCACCAATCAGAAGCGGGCACGGGTTTCCACGACATCCGTCAAATGTCTATCTACTCTTCGTAAATAAGAACAATACTAAAGTCGAAATTATATCTTTTGAATTCAAGACTCGAATCTCATTCACATGTTTGCTGTAATAAACAAGCAACAATTCCACATTGAAATACGTTTTATTTTAACAAACATCGGAGGAAAATGAGAGAAGATTGCGATATGACTATTGCAATACATCAACACCGTCAGTTTCCCGCCATTTGGGTGCGTTTGAAATGTCTTGCAGGTTTAAGATTTTTCCAAAGCGGTTTTCTCCGCAATTTCGGCTCCATAAAAATGCGGAAAAATCACCATGTTATGTATTCACATAGTACTTTTAGAATATTCAATAAAATAAACAAGGTTTAGTGACCCATTATGACAGAGCTCTTATTATTCAGCCAACATCTGGCAATGGTTTTCATATTAGCCCTTTCTTGTTGCATTTTATTCGGAGTTCTTACGATTCACCACATTATTTCTGTTATTTTTCATAAATTTAATTTTTCTTTGGCATGTTAGATATTATTCCCTGGTTTCTGCTGCATGCTCTACAATGACAATAATTTATCACAATCTATATGATTGGTTTTTTGAGTAATTCTTTTTTTCACAGAATAAATGGTCATTTTTCGCAGGAAAAACAATTTGAACATCGAGAAAGGCTTACTTTATCAAAGCGATGGGTTTGAATGTGCTTTTTACAGCTAGCTATGCATTTATAAGTCTTCTGACAATGGGGACAAGCAAACTGGTCATTTTCACTATGGATTGCAGAATGGCGCCTCAAACTTCCACGTGTAGAAAATAATTTTCCACAATCACTGCATGAGAAATTTTTTATTCCAATGTGTGATCGCGCATGAACTCTCAAAATTCCAGCAGTAACAAATGACCTTGAACAGAAAAACATTTATTATAAGAGTTGTAATGGTCTTTGCATCCAACAAAAAATTTAGTGTATCTATACGTTGAGGATGAACTATATAAAATGATTTAGTCCTCAACTTAACATTGCACATCTTAATTCATTCTTGGACTTGTGTTTAACCAAGTTATGGACGTATCTTGCCTTGTTCCTTTGATTTTAGAAGGCACAAAATTTAATGAAAAATGTCTTGCTGATAAAAATCTCTTTCTCTCATTTTTGTCGAGACATTTGGGCTCTATACATTTTAGTTGACAGTTCCCCGGCGTTTGTTTCTAATAGGTTAAAAAAGTACACTGGAATACAGCACAGCACTTACTTTAAATCACTGCAAGGCCTTTACGGTTGCCTCTAGGAACAGCGCTTCATGATCAGTTCAAAAGTAGACTTTCAAGCAATGTTACTACAATACACTAGCAACAATACTACAAAACAACAATGCAATTTGGAATTACAATTCCTGGCTCAGTTTGGGTACAACGTACATGCCATTAGTTTTCCTATGCACTTACAGTGTTTTTATGGATGAGCCAGAAAGTGTGGTTCCAAATCGTAAAATGTAATCCATTTGTTATCACATGCTATAGGATAGTTAGTTGCATTGAATATTCAGAGCTGAGGCAGATACAAAACAAAATTCCTACCATTTTTGTAGTGACAGTTGCGAAACGCAGTTCTAGTGCTTATAGGAAACAAGCTGAAGTCACTTACTTTTTGCAAATATTACATTGGAATGGTTTCTCCCCCGTGTGTTTCCGCATGTGTGTTTTAAGATGTGATGTCTTGCTGAATCTTAGATTACACTCAGTGCAAGCATATGGTCTATGTGTAGCGGTAGTCTTGGAATCTTGTTTCTGTCCCGACTGCTTTGTGGAGTCAAGCTCTGTTAAAAAGGTCAATTTTTGCGGAGCAGCAATTTTCTCTGGTTTGTGATCTAAAATCTTTGCATGAATGATGGTAGGTATTTTGGATGACTTGAGTTTTAATGGAATATTTTCATTTGGCTCGTTTTCAGATTTGATGGTTTCAGATTGGACCGTGATTGCACCAACCCCCGAATCTGCAGATTCTGGAGGCCACACTGCTGCCTTACCCCATTCACTCGGTGACAAATGAAAAGATCTAAAACAGTCAGAGTTACATTATCATTTAGCTAAAAAAGCAAAAAATACGCAAACAAGATACATAGAATCTAATTTTAAAGTGCTGATTATTATTATGATTAATATGAGAAAAGATAAATACATTAGAAATGTATCGAATAACAATAAGGACCAACGCAAGGTCTATTTCTGATCTCACACATTACTGAACTTACTTTATGATGCAAATTTAAAAAAGTATAGAAACAGGGGTTTTATTTCTTTTTAAAACAAAAAATTAAAAAAAGTTATTCAGATCCAGTTAAATATTTTTTTTAAAATTATATTATGATTTTTAGTTTCATCTAATTCATTACGATTTTTAGAAAATTTCAAAATTAGCACATCTACTATGTACTGAGAGACACATGCAAAAGTTTCAAAATCGCATGAGTTGGAGGATACTCATAGCAAAAGTCGAAAAAAGCGTATCTCAGATTGCAACATTAAAAGTCTCCAATCATGTCTTATATTTGTAAAAAAGAACTAGCAGATAGTTTCTATTGACATTTTCTTCACTCATTCTACATATGATAATTACACGAAATTGCAAGGAAACATTCTGATTGGTTTTCCTTGAAAAGAATAAAACATAATTTACGATTTTTAAACTTTGAATTTAGTCATCGATATTTCATGATGAGGTTGAATTTTTCATGTTGTTACAAGAATGCCAGTGGACAATAAAAACTATCAGGATAGTATGAGAGACTAGACGTCGATTCAAATAAAATCACTTACGATTTATGTAATTTGAGGGCTCTAGGATTTGAGTATGATCTAGGGCAGTAGCTACAAGAATAACTCTTTCCGATGTGTGTTCTCATATGAGAGCTCAGGGTGGATCGAACCGCAAATGCTTTATCACAGAAAGTGCACTGAAAAGAGAGGAAGAAAAAAAAAATCATAAATGATATTTTGATCAAAAAGTTTGTCAAATGAGAGGAAAAATCTACTTGAATCATATCTTAATTCTTCTAAGGCAGCTTCAAAATGTATGTTCTTAGCTGGATCAATTTTGGTGACACAATACAATGGTACACCTTTTGAAAGAGGTTTTCACTTTGGTTAAGAAACTAACTTTAGTCTATCATCCTTCATTCAAAGCAACTCTAATTTTTTGTTTGGCCTTACTCAAATAGGACACAAGTAGGTTGAGATTACCAGACCACATGCTGTTTTCCAATTTAAGAAAATATAAGGAGCTCCTTAGTGAAAAGAGGGCTTATCAACGTTTATGCTGAAACGCACCTCAAAAGTAATTAATTTTCGTGGACCTTCCAAATTAGCAACCACTTGGCAAAAAAGGATTACCTGGCAAAATTCCCTGATTTGAGTAAAGATATCTCAGGAAAAAAGGAACCATGGATTTGTGATGGGTGTAATTTTTGAGCGCAAGAATTTCAAAAGTAAGAGATAAAAATATCAGATGAGGCAGGTCTTCATACAGGAATCTCATCATTATTCTACCTACTAATTGAGAAAATTAAACAAGTTTACGAATATCTTTTCAATATTATAATGCCTTGGAGTCAAAATGTTTCTAAAAACTCTGAATCTGGATACAATACAACCACAACCACAACCACACACACACACACCCTCACCCTCCCTCATACAAACAAAAAATAAAGTTTAAGCCTCAGAGAAAGAACTTGATCATACTTTGAATGGTTTTTCATGAGTGTGTGTTCGGATGTGTCTGATGAGGTCGGAGGGCTTCTTGAATTCTTTCCGACAAAACATACATAAGTGCCATTTCACGCCTCCTGAGCGCTTCAGTGTCAATTTGGTTATTTGCCTAAAAGCAAATGGGGAAAAAATGGAATTAGAATTATTAGAATGATCATTTGATAAGTATAGTACTTAATTCTCAGACGAAAACACCAAATAACATAATTGGAAATTCGAAACTCATATATTTTGAAAAGAAAATTACTCAGTATCACAGAAAAAAAAAACTGATGAAGAAATTAGAATACTGAAACTGATTCATGAGGACTAAGAAACGAAAACAATATTCAGAAACTCACAAACTGTCAATTGATCATACAGTCTTGGCTTCTTTGATGACTTTCTAGACCCTTCTAATTTATTTTTAATATCTTTCTCTTCCACCTAAAAATATTGTCTGAAATAATGCCTGAGTGTTTGACAGGAGGAAAATGACTATGTAGTTGGATTCACAACTCTTCAACATTTTTTTCCCCAAATAAGATTTGAAGGGGTTTTTTTACACAGGCTATTTAGTTTAAGCCAAAAATATCAGTAACTCATGAAATACAATCATGAAAAAAATAATGACTTACATTTTGTTATTATTCAAGACTGACGTGTGCTCAACAAAAGAGGTGTTGTTGGAATCAATTTCTTTCTTAATGTCACTAGTTTGATCCACCAGTTCGTAAGGACCATCTTCACTTGCAGCTTCAACTTCTACAGACATCAGCAAATAAATTAAGTATAACAGGTGGGTAAAATAAAAACTGTACAACTAACATGGACAAAAGTCAAACTTCCAATCCAAGAAATTTCAGAGGACCAGTAAAAAAATTTGAAAAATCCAAAATTTAGTAAATGGATGATAATCAAAAGTTAGTTATTAAAATTCTTAGAAGAGTAAAGTATTCCTGTTTTATTATTTCAGATGATTTTTCCCTTTCTTATTGGACACATATTTAACAACGTTCACAAGCACAAATGCAAGAATAAATCATGCATGCTCGTTGCAACCTGTAAATGTACTTCATACTTTTTCTTTTGCTGATGCAGGGTTGATTGTAGTGCACCCCAAAACGGGGTTGATCGTAGGGTTTCATCTGTTGGCATTGAGAAAAATTATAGCCTGGCGTAGCCAATAAAGGTTGCGCTGCAGTCATTATAAAAAGTCGTACTTAGAATACGAAGAGTTCCACTAGATTTAAAAAGATTTGAACCAAAGATATTATTGATGGAGAAAAATTAAAAAGAGAGAGCTAACTTACCGGACTGTTCCAGCTTTTTCTCTTTTTCACCCTGGAAATGGGAAAACAAAATATTTTAATCAATGTACCTATCATACAACAGAAACAAAAGAAACCAAATGCACAATACAAGACAGTCTATTAGTGTGGTGTACATGCCTGCTGAATTTAATATAATTTATCTTCTGAATTTTATTATGCTATTACATTTGTGTTCTGAGTTCAGCTTTCATCATCTTTCTCTATTTCTTTTTATTATATCTTTAAAGACTCATCACTTTGCTCAAATAGAGGTAATGGCGCTGAAAGTATTTTGCAAGAGTTGCATTCCTTATTTTTAGCATTCTTCTATTATTTAATGTATTACAGAGGTTAAAACTTGTTTCATGGGCCACACGAAAAAAGCAATTAAAACACTTAAAGCAAATTATTAATAATTCATTTCTGATGAAAATTTTGATGAAATGTTCCATAAGACATTCAATTTAAAGAAACTATGACAGGACTGATGTTGTCTTCATTGAAATCTTTCGACATAAAACTTACGCGAACTGATGAATCTCGGTGAGCGCGATTGACATGAGCATTAAGACTGCCAACTTTGCGAAAAACACAGGCACATTTGTTACACTCATATACAGTTGTTCCTGATGGCGGGATTGCATGTAATCGCTTGACATGACACCTTAAATTACCTTTAAACATAACACAGAGAATATTATCAGAATTTAAAGTACTTACAATCAGCTTCAAACCAGCTCATAAGTTTATTTGAAATAATCTTAAGTTTAAGTTCACTTTTTACTGTTAATATTTGAGCAGTTGAAGGTAGAAATGTGTTATTTTCTGCATTTGAAATTACATTCCTTGCGACAGAAAGTGGCAGATGAGGGACAGAGTGAATGACTGGCTTGGAGGATAATTGAAGAACCAGAAAACAGGTGCATTACATGGCATGCATTGGTTTATTCAAAACAACTTGGGCTCACCAAAGTCAATCAACCCTTACACAGTACACCAAAATGATCACTTGATTCATCCTTTTTCCCATTACTATCCCTGGCATGCACTATGGTCAACGAATGAAGGGGGGGCCCAAAAACAACCAGAATTCTACTGTAACTTGGCAATGTTTCAAATTTCTGCGTTTCATTGCCAGGAAATATACCTATGCACTAAAAGGAATCGCTCATCAAAATATTGCTGAGTCATGACACTTTTTGTTTTGTTTCGGCGAGACTTAGCGTGAGCGGCAGATGCTCTTTTACCCTCCAAAAAGTTGCCTGGATGAGACAGAGGACGTTTTTAAAGACTTTTTAACCTTTGAAAAAAAAATCGATAAATCAATAAACAAAATAAAATCAAATTGGAAATTCTGACCTACTTCTCTAAAAGTTGAAAAAGTCATACATGCAACGAGTTCCTTCAAAATTTCAAGGACAGATAAGGGAAACCCCGTTTTTATTTTTCCTTCGGGGAGAAAAGGAAAATAAAAAATAATACCTTAAAACAGCATCCATGCATACATAATATTTTCCAAGCATTTTTTGGTTAGGCCATGAAAATTAAAGTATCATTTGATATACTTTTAAATGCAAGTATGATTAAAATTTTACCTTGGTTCAAAAGTTACTGAAGGAAAGTTGAAAAATTACCTTTTTGGCTAAAGGTTGCTTGACAAAAGTAACATTTGTACGGTTTTTTTCCATTATGCTTGAGCATATGAATTTTCAAGGATCCTGCTTGACTAAAAGCTCGAGGGCATATGTTGCACTGAAATGAGAACAAGAAAAATAAAGACGTATTATTCTTTTCATGAATGTTAAGAGAAGTTAAGGCACGTAAATGGGTTGGATTAAACAAATTGATTCTTCTGTCAATTGAAAACGGAGCGTAAAGTTAAAAAATAAAATCAGGGTTTCTGTGAATCAGCACTTTGATGCCATTGCTGTGTCATTTTCTAGCCGAGCAATTGCAGGTGTTTGAAATTTTTAAAAAATAGAAACTAATAGTTGAGTTCCGCAAGAAGATAAAGTCTACAATTTTTGTTTCATTTTCCAATTCCCTGATTTTTCCTTGACATGTTTGGGTCTTTCTTGACTCCAAGATTTCTGAATTCCCTGACATTCTTTGAATTTCAAACAAAACTTTCACTTGGATTTTCCTTCTCTTAATTATGCTCACTTTAGATGAACTTTGGACAAAATTATCACTTTAAAAGATTCAAATAATGGAAAAAGGCACTAGGAAGTTCTTCTCTCTAAGGAGATGTGCTTCTCGCAAAATTCCCTGGCTTTCCTTGTTTTTTCCAGGTCACTGTACATTTCTTGACTTTTCGGGTAATCCAGATCACTAATAAATTAGAAGAGAGGTTATGGAATACAATTTAGATACCTTGTATGGTCGTTCTCCTGTATGTATCCTCTTGTGCCTGAGTAATTGACTAGGTTTTTGGAATTGCTTTTCGCAGATGTCACACTTGTTCCCACTGTAACCTTTTGGCCTGAGGGAACCTCGCCTGTACTTCTTGGAGCTAATTACTCTTTTCAGCTGCAAAAAATAAGAAAGAAAAAAATTAGGGTCAGACTAGATTCCATAGGAATGGCCCCTAACACTCAAAATTGGCGTATTAGTGCTACTGTTTATTGGAGTGTTTTAACACTGAGTCTGTCAAACTTCATAAAAGGTAAAGATTCACGTACACAACTATTTTTGCATTAAACTGATGAATTATTCTTGCTCTTTTAAAATCCTCTAGAGAGGAAACAACAAGACACTCCTTTAATGGGCATTTATGTAGTATGAAAAGGACTTGAACTGCCACTTGTCTGAGGAACCTAGCTCCCTTAATATCTCTTAAATTGTGAATCTTAATTTACACATATTGACAATGAAACTACTAGACCACGTATCTTGTTGGCAGTGTTTAAAAATCTCCGCTCCCATATTTTTTATTTTTTTTAAAGGGGGACAAATCAATATCATTCCTTGAAGTTTTCACAAAGTTTTCTTTGCACAAAGAGGGAAAATCTTGGAAGTTTTCAAGAACTGACATTGGGTATGTAGTTTCCTGTTTTAAAAGAATAAGGTGCAATGTCGCAAACCAAGATATGTTGTCTGATAGTTTCACCATCAATTTATCTTTATAATGAAAATTTAATTACAAAGTTTATTTTATTATGGTAGCCTACAAGATTTTGGCTGTTTATGAAAACCAACTGTCTTTTTATACTGGATGAAAAGAGATGAAAAATTTTACTTAGCAGTGCATGACAATGAAACGAGGTTTAAAAAAAATTGAAAAGAAAAAAATAGAAGTAAAATTTCAAATAACAAACCGAAATGTTTCCGATGGTTACCCAACCATTATCAATTGATAAAATAAAAATAAAATGAAATAATTACACAGTAAAACAGAAAATCAGAAGAATACATTCTTGGTTTGGCACAAGACAAGAATTGATACTGGATGAAAGTAGCGTAAAGCTAAGACACCACAGTCCTCCTTTTTTACAGAGCACTACAAATAAGGAAAATGAGTCCTCCTAGAGTATAATCATCTGTCATTGACTCAGTTTTATACGAAATGATAGCAATAAAAACTTCAAATTTTTACGTACTGTGTAATGATTCTTCATGTGATCACGGAGAGACCCAGCAGAGTTGAACGATCTTTTACATTGTTTACAAGAGTATTCTTTTTCTGTGATTTTTGGCTGACGCCACTCAGCTTCATGGACCATAAGATGTTCGACATAGTCGACCTGTAATAAAAGACAGAAAAATATTGTTAGATCATGAGAGACAAGGATATTTAAATTATAAGTACTGTTTTGATATCTAAAGTGAGAATTATTAAAATTAACGTTCCCATCAAATTCAAAGTCCAAAAAAGCTACGGTCAAACCTCACTAAGTTAGAACTTGCTTAAGTCGGAAACCCTACTGACTCAGTAATTATGGCTTGGCTCTGCTTTTCCGTTTTGCCGATACTAAGTCCGGTTGACTTCATGACCCCACCAAGTCGGAATGAACTCTTGGTCCCCATGTATTCCAACTTAGTGAGGTTGGACTGTACTGTTCAATATGCACGAAAGCTGTCAACTTATTGGAAACAGCATGTCATGCCCAAAATATGGAGCGAGTTGACCCAGTAAGAAATAAATAAAAATATTCACAATTTTAACCAAATGCACAGACATTATTGGTTACATCAATAGCTAAGGCTGAACAATGTGTACTTCACATGCAACATTGTGAGTTTCGACTCATGTTTCTTTCTTTCTTTCAAACGAAAATGAACCAATGTTTTCTGATAAAATTCTCCGTGTATTTTCCCACTTATGTAATCATGCCGAAACAAGCACACAAAATTGCGAGGAAACATTTTAATTAGTTCTGCTTGAAGAATAATTCAAAAGGAAAACAATCATATAAAAGTAGCTATCCAAGACTCTGACTTGTAATATGTCACAGACCTGGCTGTAAAACTCATCCCCGCATTCTGGACAGCACAATGATTCCTCCTTCTCATGCACCATGATATGCGCCTTGAGACTGGCTAGCCTGTTGAACTTCTTCTTGCACTCGGGACAGCGAAGCTCCGCGTCCTTTGTGTGAATCACCTCATGCAGTACCAAATTTGAAGCGTGATTGTATGATGCTGAACAGTCCTTGCATTTGAATGGCTTCTCGTATCTGTGTGAGCGTTGGTGAGACCGGAAGGCATGGAGCATCACAAACTCCTGGTCACAGATATTGCACCTGTATGGAGGTCCTTTCTTCTCAGATTCTAAATTCTGCTGCGCTTCTACTTCCACAACCTAAATAAAGGTCAAGAACAGAGTGCATTTAGTAAAATCTGGGAAAATTTTTTGCAGTTACGCACTTTCAAACTGCAACAGAAGATTGTCTGACGTCACTTTTGCATGAAAAGTAAATGCAGGAAGCAAGATGACAGATCTTCTGTCGCAATCTAGAAGAGCATAAACTTAGTTGCGCAGACTCCATCTACATTTGCAGTCTCCTAGAGTTGGATCTACCTCCAAAAATCAAGGTGTCTAGTAACATATTTAAAAAAAAAAAAAAAAAATTTAAATAATATTGCAAGATTTTTCCAGAACATAAAAAAAATTAAATATCTTCCGTAAAACTTCAGAGGTATCATTTGACGTAACAATTTTTGAAAATGTTTTTTCTTATTTTTCTTCTTCCTGTAGGTAAATAAAACCTTGCCCTGACTTGGTAAAAGAATAACTGGTAAACTCTACGATGTCAGCGACTGACTCATGAATCCTGGCATCATATTGACCCGTAAAATCTATAATTTACAATAGTACAATATGCAGGTTACAGAAACATACCTTGTTGACTGCGCTAACACTGGGCTCGACTTTGGTAACTGGCTCTGCAGGGATTTCTGGCACTTTCGGTGATACTATATTAAATGCTACACTGGGATTAATGCATATGCTTGAAAGATCAATTGAACTTATATCAACGCTTCCATCAGGAAGACTTGGCAAGCTGATCAAAGTTTGTTTGTCTTGAGGATCGCCCAGAATTTCCAGGTGGCTGTTTAAGCTCAAGGATTTTTGCATCGTTGAGGCTGGTGGATTGGTGAAAACCAGCTCTTGGTTATTGAGAAGAGCCAGCTGACTAGAGTCAATGTAAACGACGGGTGCAGGAGCAGCAACAGAGGCGACAGGAGCCAAGTTATTTTTGAGATCGATGGCAAGGGGGTCTGCTGTCGGCTGTTGCGTATCTTGCACGAATGCAATTGGAATACTGAGGTAAGCAATGCCATTTTCGTCCAATAAGATGTTACCCTCTGAAATGAAAAGAAACGAGCGTTTATATGGTTGGAAATAAAACAGATAAAAAAGAATGGCACCTTTGATGTAACTTACAGTATAAAGCTGTTGTGAGGCTCATGGGGATTTGCTTGGCGTCTAGACCTTAAAAATGGTACTGCCGAAGTAACATTTTTGGTAAACTTGACTTTACAACAGCAATCGACGGTGTAAGTCAGCAATTACATAACTCGGTCTGCGACGTCGCAGACTTCCTATCATACTTTATTTTTTTAAACGGAAAACTACTCAACAGCAATTCTTCAAAACTGCCGGGATTCTTCTTCTTTGTGCGAAGAAAATTCTGCAAAAACTTCAAGAAATTATGTCAATTTGTTCTCTTTTAAAAAAATATCATAGAGGCGGAGATTGTCAGACACCGCAAATGAGTTATGTGATTGCCGACTCACACCGTCGCAATGTTCTCAATGCTAAGAACGAAGACTTAATTTTCTGTAAATGAAATGGAATTCCACCAGACGCTCCTTATTCACAGTGCTAGAGATTATGTTTTTGTACTCGACCATCAGATTTGTCAAACAGGATATGGGTCAATATTATGAGAGACAAGTCTAAAGGGTAACATTGTAAGTCAAAAGGAGTGCATCGAAGCTCACTCATTGTAAGTTGTAAGAAAGTCTTATCTTGTCTTTTATACTAATCAATGATGACTTATAATGCATTCAAGTAGGTTCATCGGTAGGATTAAGGGGTAAATTAAATACAGTAATTTAAATAAATATGAAATAAACTATGTAAAAAATTCAAAATTCTTAAATAAATTAAGACGTACCTATAACAAAGTGAGGAAATTGGTAATTTTTTGACCGGAAAGCGTAAAAGTTCAGTTTAAAACTAAAAATCTCATTACAAAGGGAAAAAGCCAATTCAATCAGAATTTTCTCTCAAAGAAATATGCTGTTTGATTCAGCTTTAGTTAAGATCATTCAGGAAGGCAATTTGTGCTGCATTGATGATGGGTCCAAATAGGCCCAAAACACGTCTGCAGCTTCATTCTTGAATGGTTGTGCCTAGTGCTGCACCAAACGGTGTATTTCTTTGAGGAAAAATTCTGCTTAAATGCGCTTTTTCCCTCTGTATTGAGATTTTCAGTTTTAAATTGAGCTCTTGCGCACGTTGGCCAAGAAACTATCAACTTTCTTGTAATACATAACAAAGTAAATTGACCAGAAAGTAATTTTAGAATATTGATTAGTGTTGATTAAAGGCTGATCAAAGATTCAGACGGCCACCCCACGAGCCTCTTGCTTATGGGGGCTGGCTTTGTAGGTAGTTATGAAATCAAAATTTACAATTTGTAATGTATGAAAGAAATGAAGAAAGAAAGAAAGAAAGAAATAAATAGATTTGAGCGTATAACAAGGAGTGAGCTCTCGGATGAGTAATTTTTCACAATACAGAAAAACAGTGCTTTGCTTTTCTCTTAAAATTTTAGGCACCACATTTGCCAGAAAGCTGTCAACTTTATTAGTCGCCTCAATGGCCAAGCCCTCTAAACCCAGGGCGCCAAAGCCCAATTTCTGCGCACATGGCACCCAGGGAACACAGAACACTGCAGAGGAGGGAAAAACAACTATTTGATTGAAAAGGGAGGTAAGTAGATGGTACAAAATTTAGGGGTATTACCTGAAACTGTTGGTAGTGTATTGACATTAGCAAGATCAACAATGACTGGAAGATCGTTTCCAGAGATGAGATCAGACGAAAATGAGAATAGTTGGCTCTCACCCAAACCTAGGTCGATAGTTTGGGCCTCCATTCCTCCCTAAGTTTTAATTCTGTAAAAAAAAGGAGGATTATGGACATTATAATTTTATTGCTTTCTGAGGTAGATATAAAATTTGATCATAGAGCGAAGACATCGTATGTTGAGAAAAATGACAATCTCTGACTACTTCCGAAACAGCACCACTCAACAGGTTAATACATGCTCTCAGATGGCACCACTGATGGGTGGTGCGGTGACCTAAACAATACTTGACATTTGTCTCAACATACGATGTCTCCGCTCGATAAGACACTTCATTTCTTTGGATTTTGATCATATACTTGATGAGCCCATGCTTAGTATAAAGATGGACTGAAAAAGGATGTAGACAACAACTTGAATACTTCTGCTTTGGTGTAATGAAGATGAAATGTGCGTAATTAGTAGAGGTTGGTAGGTAGACTGGGTGAGGGGTTGACAAGATGGATCATTTCATGATTGCCTAGGACATACACATTGCTACAAAGCTGCCTACTTAGAGTGCTATAACTATAGTTAGATTCAGTTCAAAATTAATGGATACAGCAATTGCAGCGTTAAGCTGTACCTTGCAGCAGCTCATCTTCTAAAGAATAACAACATCTGCCAGTTTAGGTGGCTCTAAAGATCTTCACCGCATCAGGTGAGAAATGATAGTTAGAGCTCGTGCATCGTATATTGAGACGATCGTCAAAGTATTGTTAATGTTACCACTCATCAGGGATGCCATCTGACTGCATGTAATAACCTGTTGAGTGGTGCTAATTCAGAGCTAATCAGAGATTGACGTTTGTCTCACATACAATGCAAGAGCTGTATCCTTACCAATACCTCAAAGCTCCACAGAGACCGTAATCATGTTAACTTTCATTCCAGCGTAGATGGATAGAGGATTGGTGTACAATGCAGCACTACCCATTAATCTCGCTGAGCCTTCCACCTGTTTCGTCCTGTAATCAGTTGTGACCAGCAGCGTAATGACAACCATCGCCTGAGAAATTTAACGTTATTTGACTTGTGCCACTTGGATAAACAAATTGGAATATGTGTGCCTCTGCAAATACTTACTCTTTTTTTGTCAGGTTGTAAATTGGACGGCCAATGAAAACGGAAACCGAAAGCATTCGGTTTCTTGATGTTTCGGGTAGAAGTTAACCTCTTCTACTCGCGTATCAGCTGCAACAAGGCACGACACACAAACTGTTAACTTCACTTCGAAAATCCCCGAAAGGTGAGAAGCCATCACGACTGAGCAAAAAACAGAAGGGGGAGCACATTTTGTTTCAAAAATTCTGCACTAGAATGAAATACTGAAGGCAAACGAAAACTCGCAGGAAAATCTATCGTCTATCGCCATAACGTTTGTTGATATTTGATTTAAGACTACAGTGGTGCCTGCCTTACAATAAAGCAAGTGGAAGTAGTATGTGTTTAGAAATAAATATTTACACAGTTTGGCTGCTATGGTGGTGACATTCCTAGTTCTTCTTTACGCCGACAGAGGACGCTAAATCGACTCAATCGACCAATCAAGGGTTGTTTACTGTTTTTGATGCAACATGCAACACATGCAACTTGCATGCAACATGCAGAATGCAACTCTTGACGTTTTATCATTGAACAAATACTTTGATTCATTTTATGGTTTTGTAATTCAGTGTTTTTTTTTTTTTTAATTCATGTTATATATTTGTGAAATAATTATGCGGCGAAGTCCAAGTAACGTAACCAATAAGAAAATCTGGCCCCGGCTCAAAGGTATGTGAATCTCATTGATGGTCACTGGGTGACTTCTTATTTTTTTTAAAAAATACCTAATATCCCCGCTCCTCTGACGCAAGGGCGTATCTCTATTCCCACATGAGCCCCAGGAAGCTTAGAGTTATACGGAGAGTAGGGCTAATGTGTAAATCAAGGTACGCCCTTACGTCAGAGGGGCGACAATATATGTTCAGTACATATTTGAACATGTATTACATATAGTTTACACAATTATTTTCTTTTATAATTGACAATTTTTTGGTGAGAAGCCAAAACTATTTGCTATCCTGGGAGATTTTACGGACAGTTATGAAGAGGCAACATTTTATCATCATTGTAGGTAATCACGCTGCTTCCTTTCTGCTAAATGCGATCCATTTGACTAATTAGTAAGTACCGATCAATTATAGCGAACATAGCATCATGTAAGAGAGAGGTAATCGTCAAACCATAAATGGACGTATTTCTGTCAAACGGAACCATGTGCATCAAAACATGAGCCCTGAGACCCGAAAGGATATATGCATAACAGGGCTCACGTCATAATACGCATAGTTCCCTTTGACATAAATGCGTCCAAATATTTGATTACTGAGCATTCAATCCTGTATAGGTACCCATTCTTATCCAGTTATTTGCAAGCTATCGATTACCTAGGTAGGTAGGTACCTACTCCCCATGCTATTGCAATCTTGTCTGATGATATGTTTCAATGCATTATTGATGCTCTTGTTTTAGCAGAGAGCTCTTAACGTGGGCCTCCTGCAGTTAAAAAAGTGCATGGCTAAATTGGATCAAGAGTAGCAGAGGCGATCCAACACATCATAGTGCTCATAATATTTTGAAATTTTGTCGATTGTTTAAAAGAAACCTGAAAGGTTTTGGGTCCTCATGAATTTCATGGGAATTACATGGGGACCTATGGGAGTTCATGGGTACCTGTGGGGAAAACCAGGAGGGTGTCCATGGGGAAGACTGGGGTGCCTGTGGGGAAAACTAGGGTGCCCATGGGGAAGACCAGGGATGTCCCATGGGGAGGACCAGGGATGTCCCATGGGGAAGACCAGGGATGTCCAATGGGGAAGACCGGGCACCGGGGTGTTCATGGGAGACTCCAGGTTTTTTTGTGGGCCAAATTACCATGTGCGCTGGTGGGACATTTTTAACAGGGTTCCAGTTTTCTTTTCCTATATACGGTCACTTTTAACTTCCTGTTTCTCCTTTTTTTCTGGTCCTTATCCCTCCACTTTGGCCTTCCTCTTCAAGTACCGGTTGTCTCGTGCACTTCCAATTCTCACCAGGTTCTCACTTCTTACGTACGTTTTTCACCTCCTTTTTCAGATTTTCACATTCTACTTCCGGTTTTCCCTTCCCTTTTCCGTCTTTCACTTCCTATTGCCGGTTTTCATCTTCAACTTCCAGTTTTTATTTACCTTTTACGCGTTTCACTTCTTATAGGTATTCGGTTTTTACTTTCCACCATCGACATCGACGGTAAAATTGCAGAGACGGCTTTGCAGACCTCCGATAATGATTTATTTAGTAGATAGAAAACTACACACCATCATCTCTTAAAAAATTTGCTGATTTTTCTTCTCTATGTGAAGGAACTCAGTGAATTTTTCAAGCCATCATGTTGGTTCAGTCTTCTTTAAAAAGAATCGCGGAGATTTTGAAACATCATTATCGAAGTACGCGTTTCGCGATTCTTGAAACGAAACATCTTGACCGGAATATTTTAGTTTCTTCGGGCATCTGATCTGAGCAATAGAACAGTGAGAACACGATGAAACAGCAAACTCCTTCAAAAGTTTGACTATGCAACCAGCGTCTGTTTCAATGTTGTATAAGTTGCGTCAGCTTTTTTTGAAGGCGTTTTCATTTCCATGAGACCTATCGACTAACTTACGCTCAAAAGAGACCCCATCCATCATGACTGAAGAGCAGGTTCAAGGACTCAAGGAGGACTCTAACATAGGTAGTTTTATGAGGACAGTTTTACGAGCTTTGAGTAAAATGCAAAATTATTATAAGTCTTAAGATAATATTCTGGTATCTGTTCTTAAGGTGTATATAGTTGTACCTACAGATTTAATTTGAAGTTCAGCCTGAAATAATAGCTTAGGTAGGTATGTAGCGAACAATTTCGATTCATGTTTAAATGGAGCCCACAAAAGATCGCGCATTTAATGATACTACAACTAAAATCAGTGAACTCAAGTGTTGAGTAACAACTACTATTCCAAATCTACCTAAAAGTTATTCAGAAATAATAAGCAGAAACAGCAAGTTGAAGTAGAAATGAAATGAAGTTTACCAATTAGGTACTTGGATTGACTAAAGTTCGAGTCGAATTAATTGAATACCGTTGTAGTTCAATACATGTTTAAGATGTGACTCCCCCCCCCCTCCTCCGCCCATAAGAGAAAAATTGTAAAAAAGAAGAAAAAAACAAACGAATGAACAGCGCTAATTTCCTTAATGTACGTAATACACGTACATTATGTAAAAAGTAGTAAATTAAGAAGGAAATTGACAAAGAAGTAGAGAACGTGTTTGTTTAGATTGGATCGTAGGGACTTCTTTCTGAGTTCAGTATTTTGGGATTTTTGTTATCTACTGTTTTTTCATTGCATTGCAATGATTTGATTAGCGGGGCGGATGAAAGCCTCGCAAAAAAATCCTCTCTCAAGAAATTTCAATAAATACAAAATACTTACAAATACAATTCAATAATTCCAATAAGACAAGGGCACTTCTTAAAAACAGATAAATTTCATAGGATTACCAGAGGCATTTAGCTACACTTAAAAGAAGTTACGGGCTATATAGACATACCGACGGTGTAAGTCGGCAATCACTTAACTCGGTTTGCGATGTCGTAGACTTGCATGCAGTCATCCTTTATTTTTTAAACGGAAAACTACTCAACAGCAATTCTTTAAAACTCCTGTGATTTTTCTTCTCTGTGCGAAGAAAACTTTGCAAAAACTCCAGAAAATTATGTCAATTTGTTCTCCTTCAAAAAAATAACATAGAGGCGGAGATTTTCAGAAACTACTCACGAGATATTTGATTGCCAACTTACACCGTCGATACCGTCCGTTCCAGGCTCAGAAGCCGAAAGTTCTGGGTGTTGGAGCTGTAGCTTCGATTGCTCGGGGTGCTTCGCCTGGAACTTACGGCCTCTGAGCCCGGAACGCGGACGGTATGTCTGTATACTGCCGTGCTAAGGAATAACGCCGTATGAACATTCAAGAGTTACCACATTTCCCTCGGTAATACATGTATTTTTAACGACATTCATGCATATTTTGCCTTGGGATTCAGGGCCGGATTAAGGGGGCCGCGGCCCATGGCGGCAAATTTTGCATTTTTTTGAATGTAGGTATAAAAAAAATCGGATTCAGGAAAAAAACAAAGATCAACGAGAAAGGGGGACAAAATCTCTCTTTCCTGAGCGTACAGTAATTTCTAATTTTGTCGTTTTTCGGCGATATGAGAGACAGCATCTTTAATTAGTCGAGTTAAGAGAGGAACTTAACACGCAATTTGGCCCGGAGCTCAGCGCACAGAGGAATGATGACGAGGACTTGAGATGAAAACAAGACAAGCCCTCGCGGCTAGGCTATCGTCATGTAACACATATTAGCGCCTACAAGACTGCATGAATACTTCACCCATTGCGTCAAACACAGCGCGGTCAGGAGCGGTTGGCGTGAAACGCATAGCGCCTACAAGACTGCAGGAATACTTCACGCATTGCGCCAAACATTGTGCGATCAGCCCGGCGCAGCGGCGGAAGTTAAAATTATTAAACCACATTTATGTTTGTTCTTTCATAATTTTTCGGTTCGTTTCTTATAAATAGAGGACCTTGTCCATACAGAGATATGTTTACAGAACTTAACTTTCGCGCAAAGTTCCGTGCAATTTTGCTAGTACTGTTAACAGGACTTTCGCAAAAAATGTATCCAACAGTCCAACACGAGTAGGTAAACGCGTCTTATGCACTCCTCCCCTCCGGCACGTTCACTTGATGGTTTTTATTGATGTTTCAAAACGAATGAGAAACGAATGAAAATACAGGCGGCCTATGGGTGGAAAGTAGGTAAATCCTGCCCTGTTGGGCTTTTCAGATATCTTAATATCTAATTTGAAAAATAGAATGAAATTGTGAATCAACCACTGTACTAATTGCGAGGGGCGTTGGTTCATTTGAAAGGTGTTGTTCTCAATGCTTCGGGAAAACTATAAATTATTTTCTGGGGTTCGTCCCCGATTTTTAAATCCCTAAAAACTCATAAATTGGATGAGGGGAAGTGGGGGTTTTTTGTTTTTTGTTTTTCGGAAAAGTTTTGTTGCTACGCATCTTACTTTACTGTTTGCTGTCTTTTTATCAGCTGTTTTCATTCAACAATCATCATTAAGTGAGGTTACTTCCAACACTCAACTGCCATCAACTTACATTTTTCTTTTCCCGCGTTTTCTTTTTTTTTCTTTTTTTTTTTTACGGTTCTTCATGATTGGTTCCATCTTTTTCCTATTGCCAATTTTTCCTCATTAAGGCAATAACCTCCAAGTTTTTTTTCTCATTTCTGATCAGAACTTTTCACGCT